ACTTTGACATCGCAGAACTGTTCCATGAAGTGAATCAGTCTGCGAAGGAACTCGCTTCGCTCTTTAATACCGAGATCGGTGACCTGAAGGATGTTCACAACCTGATGGCGCAGGCGCAAGAACGAGGGCTCGAGCACCAGATCAGCATGCAGCGACAGACCGAATCGCTCGAACGAGAGGCGGTCACCGACGGACTGACCGGTATCCCGAATCGTAAAGAGTTTGACAAAACCATCGATGCAGCGTTCAACAAATACAAAGCATCGGGGACCGAGTTTGCAGTCTTGTTCTTCGATGCTGATCGATTTAAATCCGTCAATGACACGCACGGCCACGCTGTCGGAGATGCGGTCCTCGTTGAGCTTGCTCAACGAACGAAGAAAACTGTTGGAGAGGAAGGAGTCGTCTGCCGCTACGGAGGTGAGGAGTTTGGGGTTATTCTTCCTGGATACACTGTATTGAACGCTGCGATGCTCGCGGAGCGTGTGCGGAGTGAAATCTCATCAACTCCGTTTGATATCCGTGATCTTGATGATGGACCAGACGAACTCCCTGTGACTGTGAGTATTGGTGTTTCTGCGATTGATGCCGGACCAGCGGATCGAGTTGTGAAGAGTGATCAACTGGTCGTTGAAGCGGACGCGGGGGTGTATGCCGCCAAAGCCGCGGGACGGAACAATGTGCAGGTCTGGAGCCCGGATTCTGTGCCAGCTCAGACTGAAGCGAAACAACCAGTCGAGCATCCCGAGTTGCGTGTACCCGAAGGTTTCGAAAATAAGAAGCGCATCGTCTTGATCGAGGACGACTCACTCGCAGCGACGCTCCTGATTAGCCTGTTCAAACGACAAGCCGATGTTGAGGTCCGATGGTTCAAAACCGGTAAATCTGCGATGGAGTTCTTTACGGAATCTGTTGGAGAGAACTATTTCCCGTGCGATGTCGTGGTTTGTGATTACAACATGCCTGAATACTCGGGGGTCGACGTGTTCAATCGTTTCGAAAGCATCGGACTCAAAGGGATGATCCCGTTCTACCTGCTGACAGCGAATGAATCGATGGATCTCAAGAAACAGGTCAGTGAATTGGGTGTCACCGAACTGATCGGTAAGTCCAACTTCTCAAAGAACATTGGACAGTGGATCGGATACATCACCGCAGGTTCAAAGCACGCAGCTTGATGAAACTCACCAATCCAGTGTTCCTCGCCAAGCTTTGGTGAGTTGATCCACATCCACTGAGATCATCCCGCGATCATCTGACAGCGTTCCAGAAGAGTTGGTTTTGGCAACGATGCGTGCAGACGCGCCTTCAGGAAGTGATCGCTGCAGATCATCGATCGAGGTATTCGCTGAAATCTCTAAAACATATCCGCATGGTGATTCGTTAAATGCACTTACTCCAAGATTCTGGTGATCCGGAAGCGTGATCGAAGCGCCGATCGGTTTCGACTCGCTGGATCCCGCGATCAGCATTTCTGCGATACTGCAGAGCAATCCGCCATCAGAGACATCGTGCGCTGCGAGCACTCGTCCGCTACGGACAAAGGTAGCGACACTCCGAGCGATCTTGGCGCCCAGTTCAGGATCAAGTGTTGCTGTGCGATCTTGTTGAACTCCGAACAGCTGCTCGAAGGTGCTCCCTCCGAGTCCTCCTGGATTCTCAAGACCCACATGGACGAGCACGGAATCGGTGCGCTTCATATCGCTGGTCACGGCATGTTCAAGCGAGGGAACGATCCCCATGCCGGTAATCAACAGTGTCGGAGGGATCTCGATGGTCCTCCCATCTTTGGTCGTGAACTGATTGTTAAGCGAGTCCTTCCCAGAGACAAACGGCGTCTTATACGCTTTCGCGCCGTCGTAGCAGGCGTGCGCCGCGCGGACGAGCGATCCCAGATTCTCCGGCTTTTTACAGCTTGGCCAGCAGAAGTTGTCGAGGATCGCGATCCGATCGGGATCAGTCCCGACGCACACGAGGTTGCGCACGCACTCGTCGATCGCCGCGAGTGTCATCTGGTATGGATCGTCGCTGAGTCCTGTAGCAAGTCCGCATCCCACAGCGAGTCCTTGTCCAGTCGCTGGTACTGGTTCGACGACTGAGGCATCGCCGGGACCAATCCCGCGCGGTCCGACCAATGGTTTGATGACTGTGTTCCCTTGAACCTCGTGGTCATACTGACGGATGATCCAGTGCTTGGAAGCGATGTTTGGATGCGCCAGCAGTTTGAGCAGTGCTTCGTTGAGATCTACATCGCCAGTCGGGAGCTCGTGAGGTGGTTCTTGGTGTGGGGCTTCCCACACAGCGGTTCGCGTGGGAGTGGGTATGCCGTCATGGAGGAACTTCATCGGGAGTCGTCCGACTTCTGTGCCGTGGAAGTTCAGGATGAGCTCGGCACCCAGCGTACCAAAGTGTCCCAGATCCGCCATCTCCACATGTTCTTCTTGACATATCTGACGCAGTTGGGTGAGGTGTTTCTCAGGAACCGCGAGCACCATGCGTTCCTGCGCTTCAGAGATCCAGATCTCGTCGTAGGTCAAGCCGTTGTATTTGAGTGGGGCGCGATCGAGGTGCACATCAGCGCCGATCTTCTCGCCCATCTCCCCAACTGCCGACGAGAACCCTCCAGCACCACAATCCGTGATCGCACTAAACAATGGTCCACCCTCAGCGTCCCGCGCTCGCATGATCGCATCGAGCGTGCGCTTTTCTTCGATCGCGTTCCCGATCTGCACAGCATGGCTGAACTCGTCGGCATGCGAATCGGTCAGTTCTGCACTACTAAAGGTCGCGCCGTGGATACCGTCGCGTCCCGTGCGTCCTCCGAGCGCGATGATCCGATCGTCCTGCTGTGCTTCGCCAGCGATCAGACCGCTCGGCATGATCCCGATACACCCACAAAACACAAGCGGATTCCCGATATAGCGCTGATCGAACGAGACCGCGCCGTTGATGGTGGGGATCCCCATCCGATTGCCGTAGTCGCGGACGCCGCCGACGACTTCCGTCAGGATCTGCTTGGGATGCAGACACCCATCAGGGATGTCGGAGGTGGTGGGGGGCGCGACGCAGAACACATCCGTGCTCGCAATGGGTTTGGCGGCGAGTCCCGTCCCCATGATGTCGCGGATGCACCCGCCGATCCCAGTCGCGGCACCGCCATAGGGCTCAAGCGCGCTGGGGTGGTTGTGCGTCTCGACCTTGATACAGACCGAATGGTCATCATCAAACTTGATAATCCCCGCGTTGTCCACAAACACAGACTGTGTCCAGTCGAGCCCTTCTTCAATAAGCTCAAACGTCGCCGCGGCAACCGTCGCTTTGAGGAGGTTGTGGATAGTGACCGAACCATCCTCATGAACCTCGTGATGGGGGCGGGACGACCAGTCGATACCTTCTATAGCCGGACCGCTGTAGTGGATCGTCGCTTTGAGGGTTTTGTGGACGCAGTGCTCAGACCACGTCTGTGCGAGTGTTTCAAGCTCGATATCAGTAGGTTCGCGTCCGAGCTGCTGATACTCCTGCCGGATCGCTTGCATCTCGTGGAGATCAAGGAACAGGTGTCCATCGCGCGAGAGGGTTTCAAGCTCGTGATCCTCGAGGTCTCGGATCGGGACATGCGTCAGATCAAACGCGTGATCGTGACCCTTCGGGAGTTCGTCCGGGAAGTAGGGCTCGGTGTGTACTCCAGAAACCACAGGATTCGCGAGCACGTGCTGAGCGATGTCCAGCGCTGCGGATTGCTCAAGTCCGAAGATCTCGTAGCGATAACCAGTGGAGACCTGCACCTCCACGCCGGTCAATGCTTTGATCGCGGCGGCTGTCGATTGTGCAGGAGGGTCCATCACACCTGGGAGCGGATGGACCTCGACGAGGGTGCCTGTTGCATTGGAAGTACCGTGGATGACGGTTTCGACGACTGGGTTGCAGAGCAGCTTCGTGACGATTTCATCGAGCTGCTGATCGCTCAAATCACCTTCGATCAGGAAGATCCGAGCGCTGCTCGCACGCTCGATTTGAGTCCCAAGGACCTCCGCGCGATGCACAAACTCGCTGGCGCGAGGGTCGCCGGCGTGTTCTGTTGGGTGTATCTCGATGCGATGAAGCTTGCTCTGAACACTGTCGGCGATAGCGGATGCGTTGCTCATGAACGATCCTAGACCAAGACCTCCCAACAGGACTCGATTGGGTGGGTATGATCCGCGCGATGACCCAGACTTCCGCCACAGATTCTCTAAGTACTGCTCCCAAGAGCAAGGTTCACCTCTTCACCGATGGTGCGTGCTCCGGGAACCCCGGTCCCGGCGGGTGGGCATACCTCCTCGTTCACCCCAGAACAGGCAAACAACGCGAACAATCCGGCGGAGAACGCGACACCACCAACAATCGCATGGAACTCCAAGCGGTCATCGAGGGGCTGTCCGATCTCCAGATGCCAAGCTGCGTTGAGCTTTATTCCGATTCCCAATATGTACTCAAGGGGCTCGAGGAATGGATCGACGGCTGGAAACGACGAGGATGGAAGACTGCGGGAAAGAAGCCTGTAAAGAATGTTGATCTCTGGAAGAAGCTGGATGAGCTCCGCAAGCTCCATGTCATCAGCTTCCATTGGGTGCGTGGTCATGACGGTCATCCAGAGAACGAGCGGGTCGATGAACTCGCTGTCCAAGCACGCGAAGCGATCGCGTCCCGATAACTCAAGACAGTCCAGTTGAATCTAGTTATCGGTGCCCAAATCACTGATGGATCAGGGTGTATGGATTGGCAAACCTGCTGATTGCATGATTTGCCCGCACAGACGGCCCCGCTTTCCCATAGTCCATCCAAGCTCCGATCAACCACAACCCCCATCGGGTCGATGATTTGGGTGAAGACGCACGCGCGTGTTGTCTGTTTGCTCTGCTTATACCCCGGGAGAATCTGCCGTGGAACTCGATGCCATCCTCCGTCAAGCGCATGAAGCCGACGCCTCCGATGTTCACATCATCGCCGGCGAACCCCCGATGGTCCGCATCCACCAAGTGATGACCAAGCTCAGCGAGACCGTGCTGAGTCAAGAGGTTGTCGGAGCGATGTTCGAGCGCATGAGCAACAAGCATGTCCGAACTGTCTTTGAGCAGGAGCGCGACGCGGACTTCTCGTACGAGGTTGAAGGGCTTGCTCGCTATCGTGTCAACGCGCACATGCAGAAAGGCACCATCGGACTCGCGATGCGTGCGATCAAAACCAAAGTGCCACCACTGGAAGCGCTCTCTCTCCCGGAGGTCATCGCTCGTCTGACCTACCTCCCACGCGGTCTTGTCCTCGTGACCGGTGACACCGGTTCGGGTAAATCCACCACGCTCGCGGCGATGATCCAAGCAATGAACGAGCGCTACTCCAAGCACATCATCACGCTGGAAGATCCGATCGAGTACATGTTCGAGTCCGATCAGTGTCTGATCGAGCAGCGCGAGCTCGGACGCGACATGATCAGTTTCGCATCAGGACTCAAGCACGCGCTTCGTCAGGACCCCGACATCATCCTCGTGGGTGAAATGCGTGACCTGGAAACCTCATCGCTCGCGATCTCCGCGGCAGAAACAGGTCACCTGGTCCTCTCGACCCTGCACACTGTCAACGCATCGCAGACCGTGTCTCGTATCATCGATATGTACCCATCTGGTCAGCAGAACCAGATCCGTTCGATGCTCTCGACCACGCTCCAAGCGGTTATCTCGCAGACATTGTTCACACGCTCGGACCGCCCCGGCATGGTCCCAGCGGTCGAGACACTCCTGTGTACCCCAGCGGTGCGCAACCTGATCCGCGAAAACAAGATCTTCGAGATTCCCAATGTCATCGAGACCAGCCGTGCGATCGGGATGTGTTCGCTTGACTCGTCGATCGCGGAGCTCTACTTCAACGGCACGATCACCAAGGAAGACGCAATCGCTCAAGCCGTGTACCCCGACAAGCTGGAGCGGCAGCTCGTCGCGTGATTGATCTGAAGATGTTCCAGACGGAGACTTTCAATGCCCAACTATAAATACCAGGTCAAAGGTTCAGACGGGAAGATCCGCACCGGTGTGCTGTCGGCAGACAGCGCGACATCCGCGGCGACTGTCCTGAGGAACCAAGGCGTCCATGTGATGTCTGTTGACCAAGCAAAAGAGGGCGTCGCTCAATCTGGTCTTCTCGCCTCACTCTCCAGTATGAACACCAAGAAACCCACACAGAAGAATGTGCTGGATTTCACTACACAGCTCGCCGTCATGATCCGAGCGGGGATCAACCTCCGCTCAGCACTCGACGGGATCGCTGATCAGACGGATCACAAAGCGTTCAAGAAGGTCATCATGGAACTCAAATCGGATGTCGAGTCCGGTAAGCAGTTCTCCGAGGCGCTCGTCAAGCATCCCAAGCTCTTCTCACCTCTGTACATCAACATGGTGCGCGCATCTGAAATGTCGGGATCGTTCTCTGAGATGCTCGAACGCATCGCGGGATACATCGCGCAGCAGATCGAGACTCGCAAGATGGTCATCGGCGCCTCGATCTATCCGGCGATCATCGGAGGCATGGCCGTCGCGGTGACCGTGTTCCTACTGACATTCGTGCTCCCGAAGTTCTACACCGTGTTTGAAGGCAAGGAAGATGTTCTGCCATGGGCGACCAACTTCCTCATGATGCTCTCGCAAACACTGATTGCGCACTGGCCGTTCATCCTTGGTGGTCTCGCGGTCTGCGGCGGCGCGTTCTTTGGTTTCTCGAAAACCGAGATCGGCGCGTTCTGGATCGACCGAACCAAGCTCACCATCCCGGTCATGCGAGGCATGTTCCGCTCGCTGTACATCACACGCTCGCTCCAGACGATGGGTCAGCTCATCAACGCGGGTGTCCCGATGCTCGACACGCTCAGCATCACTGGAGACATCTCTGGGAACAAGCTCTTTGAGGGCATGTGGCGCAAGGTCCACGGCTCCGTGAAGCAGGGGCGTAAGATCGCTGAACCGCTGCACTCGACCTCGCTGCTCCCCAAGTCTGTTGTGCAGATGATCGGTGCCGGTGAGGAATCCGGTAAGCTCGGCGAGGTGCTCGACGAGATATCGGTCTATTACGCGAAGCAGCTCAAGGACCACATCAAAGCGGTTACCGGAATGATCGAGCCCGTCATGATCATCATCATGGGTTCAATCGTCGGATTCATCGCGATGGCGATCATTCTCCCGATCTTCAAGATGAGCCAGATCGTTTCGTAAACGATGATTTCTGTAGTGACTCGCGTTGATGAGCGAGGGGGAGGTGCAGGAGCACACGATGTCTGAGCGTCTATCCAACCAACAAATCCGCCGAAGAGCGCATTCGGCACAAGGTTTCACGCTGATCGAAGCCGCGATGGCCACCATTATCATCGGTGTAGGTGTGCTCGCAATGGTTGATGCACAGTCCTCATTCATCACATCGAACTCATGGTCAACGCACGCCGCGAGCGGGACCTATCTTGCGAATGAAATCCGCGAGATGACGCGCAATCTCCCGAAACACGATCCAGTGGTCGGTCTCTACATCGAGGACAATGGCGACGGCGGAGTACTCCACGGTTGGGGTCCGGATGCCGGAGAAATTAATGTCGACGACTTTGATGACATCGAAGATTTCGATGGACTGACCTTCTCATTCGTCGGGACCGCAGGTTTCGGGGATGGTGATCTTCCAGGACCGATCAATGCGTATGGCGAGATCATCCCAGAAATCGACCACTACGGTGCTGAAGAAGGCGCAACCAGCAACGGTGTCTTTGTTGGGACTCCGATGTACGGCTGGTCACAGCAGGTCGTCGTCCAGAAAGTCGATCCGTTTGATTCTTCCATCGTCCGCGCCGATAACTTCACCGAAGCCGCGAGCGGCGATTTCCCTGGACGAGAGGTAGATGAATATCCACTCCGTGTGACGGTCCGCGTGTTTTACCAAGCGGTCAACGCGATCGAGCCGGACCTCGTGACTGAGGTCATGTGGGTGGTGCCTTGATGCTCGGCAGCAAAGGACAGAACACTATGACGACTCGAGCACGCTTAACCCAGGTACTCAAATCCCACCGCCGTGGGATCGCATCAATCCTAGCGATGATGTTCCTTGTGTTGTTTGGATCATTGATCGCCGCGATGGCGGTTTCTTCGACAGGCAATATCCGCACAGCGAATATGCACCTGCATGTAATGCGTGCGATGAGTGCCGCGGAGACTGGGCTCGCGGTCGCGGAGCATCGCTTGCACGAAGCTTCTTCCCGATTTGTCGTCGCTGAGAGTCAGATTGATGCGAACCTCTCGTGGGCGCTATGGACAGGGAACGGCTCGGACATCGGAACATATCAAGTTTCTGAGCCTCGCATGGGATACACCGAAGCCGCGACTCCAGCAGGAATCGCTGAAGCATTGGTCAATATACACACCGCTGACACCAACTTCATCACAGGTCTGGGGTACCTTGAAGCGCCAGAGATCCAATCCGCACCGAGCGGTGTGGACTCCACTTTGTACGCATCATCGAACTGGGTAAACACTCAAGCAGTTATGCTGAACGAGTGGGACATCAATACGATGACGAATCCGCCTCCGGCGTATCAGATCCGCTACGCGCCACTCGCGGGTGGTCAGTACATACGAGTAATCTCCGAAGGCATCGTCTACGACATGCAGCGGAATAATCAGCCGATCCGAAGGACGATCATGCGGGACTACAGGATTGCGAAGAGTGTGGATCAAGCGATCCTCGCGCATTCGAAGATCCTGATCGGAAAGAATGTCAGCATCGAGGGTGATCTCGGGACACGCTATGACGAGGTCGACTTCAACCATGGCGATCCGATCGTCATGCGTTCGGACTTCTACGGCTTAGACGCAAACCTCGACGCGAAACTCGAAGATTTCTGGGCATCACTCTCCGCTTCAGATGTCGATCGTGACAATCGTCTCCGCATCGGTCACCCAACTGAAGGAGCAGGGATCCCATCCGATGTTGATCAGGACGGCGACTCGGTTCCCGATGGCGCATTCAACGATGCGACAGGAGATGGATACCTCGATGAGTTCGATATCTTCATCCGACACTACGACACCAACGGCGATAATCGCGTTACGCTTTCCGCAGCGCTGATTGCAGGCACACCAGCCGAGACCGCTGGTGCTGCGCCTGAGTTCGATGGAGTGGATGAAGATCTGGCGCTGCTCATGGATTCAAGTACACCCGATCGCAATAAGAACGGCGTGTTTGGATTCGTTGATGCGAATAACAACGGGCAGTACGAACCAGCAGATGAAAATCCTCTGGATTACGACGCGATCCATAGTGTGTATTCCGATCTCGAACTCGGATGGCGCGACGGGTACATCGATCTGATGGATCGATACGCGAAGGTCAACGGCGGACTCGTATTTCGCACTGACCTCTCAAGTTGGGAAACTGAACAAGGACCGATCGAGGAACGCTTGCACGGACCAATCGTCCCTGGTGAGGGTGATCCGCCGATGGTATTCGGCGCAGACGATCTGATGCTCCCGGATATCGACGAGACCAGCTTTGTAGAAACAGAAACCGCGTTGATGTCAGCGGCAGATGGCGATCCATTCTGGCAGCAAGTTGCTGATCAACTCGGAACCACAGTTGCGGCGTTGGACACATGGACACTCACAGACAACTCATCCAACCTCGATAACCCGCAGTTTAACGCAGTCTGGGAAGATACGGACTACGACGGATTACCAGACAATCACGCCGAAGCGTATTCAGAAAAAGCACCGTTTAACTCGCCGAGCTATTCGGATATCTACTGGCGCCCAGTCTTTACCAATATGACATTCCGGAATGTGCAGATCCCGATGGGACTCAATGGCCTCTTCGACAACTGCACTTTCGTTGGTGTGACTTACATCAGGACGCATGATGACAACACGCACCCACTCTGGCAAGAGTACGGGATGAATGTGTTTGACACCGGAGGTGCGGTCATCCCGAAGTACAGCCGTGATGTGTACGGCGATGATGCGGGAGAAGACGCGTCCAACGCGCCTCCGATGCTCCCTTCGACCGCGATTCCACCAAACGAGTTCATCCTTATGATCGATGTGGGCTCGCCGATCGACAAGGGGGATGTCCCGGATTCAGAGATCGGTACCTACGGCTCGGCATACAACACACTCCCAGAACCACTCGTGATCAACGGTCTGCGTGTTACGGATACCAAGAAGTACTCCAATAACATCCGATTCCATGACACGCTCTTTGTCGGATCGGTTGTGTCAGATACTCCGATCAACTACACGCAGCTGCGGAACAAGGTCCAGTTTACTGGCGCCACGAAGTTCTCGACGATTCATCCCGATGAGCCTGAGAATCCGTATCTCAACCCTGATTCTGGGGATATGGAGGACATCGAGACCAGCTCGATGATGCTGCCAAACTACTCAGTTGATCTTGGCTCGTTTAACTCACCTCCTGAGCAGGATGTCCAGCTACAGGGCGCGATCATCGCGGGTGTGCTCGATGCACGCGGGAATACGGACATCCATGGAGCTCTGCTGCTTACATTCGATCCGGAATACGGCGTCGCTCCATTAATCGATATCACTGGTGCACCAATTGGAAACCCAGCAGGATTCAACACATCGCTCGGATACTTCGGTGACGGCGACGGCGACTATGAATCGATTGATCCCGCTGATCTACCAATCGTCGGAGGCAATCCGATCATCGGATACGACACGAATGGTGATGGTCTCGCAGATGTCTCCTACGACCAGGCGCAGCCTCCTGGATCGACTCCTGTTCCGTTCAATGGATTCGGAAAGATCCGAGTGCGTCATAATCCGGATATGCGTTTGCCGTCAGGTCTGATGCTGCCGTTGTCGATGCCACCTGTCGCCGGTACTTATCAAGAAGGAGGGATCCACTGATGATCCGTTCCACTCGTAAACCTAGCAAATCTACTCGTCGCGGATTCAGTCTCATCGAAGTCCTGATCGCGTTGACAATCACCTCGACGCTTTTGACCGCAACGATGGCCGCGCTTGACGCGTCCTTCAAGGGATACAAAGTCACCACTGAGGGAGCGTCCACCAATGTCGTGGCGCGCATCGTGATGCAGCGTCTCACCTCAATGGTGCGCACTGGAGAGAACTTTGGTCCGTATCCAGTAAATCCCATCACCACTCCAACAATCGAATCCACATGGATGGAGTTTGTCTCGTTCCGCGATCCAGTTACAGGTGAACGGCGCGTCACTCGTCTTGAACGCCGTGACGGTGACGCAGAAACCGGTCCGTACGAGCTCTGGTATGTTGTCACCACATTCGTGAACGACACCTATCAATCAGAATCCGCCGCGCCACTGATGGTGGGTCTGAACAAAGTGCAGTTTGACATGGAATACGATGTTGGTCCCCAGCTCAAGCGTGTGACGATTGATTTCATCATCCAGCCGGATGATGTTCAAGACGCCGCGATTGGAGCAGATCTCGAAGCGCCGACAATCCGATTGGTCGCGAGCGCATCGCCTCGTCAGTTCGACCAGTGATCAGCTTGCGTATCCGTTGGGGTGCGCTTTGAACCAGTCGAATGCGTCTTGAACGACCTCGTCGATGTTGGTGATCTTCGCATCCCATCCGAGCTTGGATTTGATTTTAGTCGGATCGTTATACAAAGCGATCGCGTCACCCGCGCGTCTTGGCGCGTCATGGACGGTGAAATCCACACCTGAGACACGCTTGACTGCATCAAGGATCTCTCGCACGGAGTAGCCTTTCCCGATCCCCACATTGAACGCTTCGACCTCTCCTCGTTTTGTGGAGTTCATCGCGAGCACATGCGCCCAGACCAAGTCCTCGACATGGACATAATCGCGGATGTTGGTGCCGTCAGGGGTGGGGTAATCGGTGCCGAAGATAGACATGGATTCGCGCTTTCCGAGCGCCGCGTTGATCGCGACCGGGATCAGATGCGTTTCGGGATCGTGATCCTCACCAAGCATGCCTGTTCGATCCGATCCAGCAACATTGAAGTAGCGGAGCATCGTCAGCGCGATGGGGTTGTTCTTTCTCGCACGGCTATTCGCGTAGTCCTTTAGGATGTGCTCCATGTGCAGCTTGGTGTAACCGTAAGGAGAAGTCGGATTCTGTGGACAGTGCTCAGGGACTGGGATCATGTCCTCTGGAGGATCGCCGTAGGTCGCGCAAGAGGAGGAGAAAATGAATCGCTCGATCCCTTTGCCCCCTCGTGATTGGTCGCATGCTTGGAGCAGCCCGATCGCTTGTGCGATGTTGTTCTGGTAATACCGGAGTGGGTCCTCGACCGATTCTCCCACATACGCGAGGGCTCCAAAGTGCATGACCGTATCAAGCTCATGCTTATCGAGAACTTGGAGCACTTGCGATTGGTCTCCAAGGTCTGCGTGGACAAACTCGAAGCTTTCGGGGTGTGCCCCCTTCAGTATCTCCATCGGCTCGCGATGTCCGCGATGGAGATTGTCGAGCGCGACGATGTGGTAACCATCTCTTAGCAGCCGTTGACACGCGTGGGATCCGATGTACCCAGCTCCACCTGTGACCAGAATCCTCATAATTGCCTCCAGAGCAGTGCATCAGCCGATGAGTGCTGATGATATTCCCACATTCAACTTTGGGTGGGGAGCATCCGGATTCATGTTCGGAGATGAAATCTCAGCGACAGGATCCGGTACAATGATCGCTGAGCACGAAGCTCGGTCCAGGGTCTATGTGGAGCCTTCATTCATGGCGGAATCTTTCGGTTCAGATTTCAAACGCTTCTTCGGCAAAGGTTTGGCGATTCTCCTCCCAACTGCGGTCACCCTCTGGTTGCTCTGGCAAGCATTCGGTTTCATCTTCAACAATGTCGCTCGGCCCATCAACAGCGCCACGCGTGTCGTCGTGATCTGGGGGGTCCCTCAGGTATTCGACGAGGAAGCACTACCTGAGTGGTTCCGTGTGACTCCAGAGGAGTTGGTCCAGGCGCGAGCAAACAGAGACATCCCCGATTCGACCACAAACGCGGCGCTTCGCCGACAACTCCGCACAGAATACCTCGCTGATTTCTGGGAGAGCCATTGGTATCTCAACCTCACAGGTTTCCTGATCGCGATCATGCTCATCTATCTCTCAGGTGTCCTACTCGGAAACATTGTCGGGAAGACGATCTACAACCGACTCGAAAGACTGATCACACAGATTCCCGGATTCAAGCAGATCTATCCGCATGTCAAGCAAGTCGTCGACATGATCCTCGGCGAAAAGAAGATGGCTTTCTCCAAAGTCGTCCTTGTTGAGTACCCAAGAGAGGGGATCTGGACAGTCGGATTCTTGACCGGAAACTCCATCCGTCAAATTGATGACTCCGCAGGAGGTCAGGTGGTCTCGGTCTTTATCCCGACTTCTCCCACGCCGTTTACTGGATTCACAATCAATGTACGCCAGGAGCATGCGATCGAGATGAACATGAGTGTTGAGGAAGCGCTCCGATTCGTCATCACAGCAGGCGTGCTCGCTCCTGGCCAGAACAGCGATGAGATCGATCCGGGTGATGTACCCCTGACGCCGATCGTCATTAAGGGCATCCCGACCGATCCGATGGCTCCTGATACACTGAACAAGACTGATACCAATGGCGATAAAGACGATTGATCTCCGTTCAGATACGGTCACCCAACCAACCCTCGCAATGCGCGAAGCGATGGCATCCGCTGAAGTCGGCGATGATGTCATGCGGACGGATCCAACTGTTATCGCGCTCGAAGAGAAAGCAGCGGATCTGTTTGGCAAGCAAGCGGGACTTTTCACCCCCTCGGGAACGATGGCCAATCTGCTCGCGATCCTTGCGCAGACCAAGCCCGGCGATGAGATTCTCACGCACCGCGAGAGTCATGTGTATTACTACGAAGCCGGAGGTTATGCCGCTCTCGCTGGATGCAGCGTTCGGTTTGTCGATGATCAGCCTGATGTCAAGAGAGGTATATTCAACGCTGCAGCACTACGCAGTGCGATCCGGCCGAGCGATATCCACTTCCCCAATCCGAGCTTGTGCACGATCGAAAACACACACAACAGGGGTGGTGGGGCGACCTGGACAATGGATCAACTCCAAGCTGTTCGTAAAGTTGCAGACGATCACGGCCTGCGTGTGCATTGTGATGGAGCTCGCATTTGGAACGCATCCATCGCAAGCGGCATCAGTCTGAAAGACCTCGCGTCCACAAGTGATACCCTCTCCGCGTGTCTGAGCAAAGGACTCGGATGCCCAGTGGGATCCGTGCTTGTAGGTGATCGCGAAACCATCGAACATGCCAGACACAAACGCAAGATGCTTGGAGGTGGGATGCGACAAGCCGGTGTGCTCGCCGCCGCGGGGTTGTACGCGATCGAGAATCATTTCGAGCGACTCCAAGAAGACCACGATCGTGCGAAGCGACTCGCGCATCAGCTTGCTGATCTGAAGATCTTTGACTTTGATCCAGAATCGGTTGAGACAAACCTTGTATATGCGAAACTCTCACAATCTGCGATGGAATCGTTTGGTGATGCGTTTGCGCTAGAGACTCAACTCAAAGATATCGGCATACTCTGCTACGCAGAGAGTGCCGGGACGCTGCGCTTTGTGACGCACCTCGATCTGGATTGTGTAGTACTCGATGAGGTCGCTCCACGCATCAACACACTCTGTGAATAGACAAAGGACCCAGCGTTCGCCGGGTCCTTCGTGCTCGTAGTCACACCGCGAATCCGCGGCGGGATGAGAAGGGGTTCGATTAGCTGTCTGATGGGAGGATCACTGTGTCGATCACATGGATCACGCCGTTGGACGCATCGATGTCCGCGGCCTCAACAGTCGCGTTGCCGACTTGCACCTTGCCCTTGTACTCACGGATCTTGACCTTGTCGCCTTGGAGGGTCTTTGCCTTCTTTGCGTCAACTGCTTCATCGCTGTAGACGCGTCCCTCGACGACATGGTACAGAAGGATCGAGCGGAGTGTATCAAGATTCTCAGGCTTCAGAAGGTTCTCAACAGTCCCAGCTGGGAGCTTCGCGAATGCGGCATCGGTTGGAGCGAACACAGTGAATGGACCTTCGCCGCTCAGTGCATCAACCAGACCCGCTGCTTCAATCGCTGCCGCGAGTGTGTTGAATGAACCAGCAGATGATGCGGTCTCAAGAATTGAATCGGTCTTCGGGAGGATGACCTCGTCGATCACATGGATGATCCCGTTGCTGCACTCGATGTCTGTCTTAATGATGCTCGCGCCATCGATGGTGCCTTCGTGTGCGTTGATGTCCGCACGCTGTCCGTTGAGCATGTTCAAGCCTGGGGCACCGAGCACATGCTCCGCGTCATATTCTCCAGGAACAACATGGAAGGTGAGAATGTTGATCAACTGATCACGATTCTCAGGCTTGAGCAAGCTCTCAACAGTACCAGCAGGGAGCTTTGCGAACGCTTCGTCGGTTGGTGCGAAGACAGTGAACGGCCCCTTGCCCTTCAGTGCGCCGACGAGGTCTGCTTCAGTGAGTGCCGCCGCGAGGGTATTAAACGAGCCGGCTGCGAGAGCAGTGTCAATGATGTCCGCTTGATGCTCATTGACCTGCGTGGTGTTCGCATGATCGTATTTGTTGGACGAGCAGTTGGGCCCACCGAGTGCGAGTGGGGTAGCAGTGAGTGAAGCGACAGCAATAGCGGTCATGATGGTTTTCATGGTGTGTTTCCTTTAACTGTTGTTATTGATGAGGTTTCTGAAGCCGACTTACGGACGGCTGTGCGGTTGAACCAGTTCGGATAGTGGTTTCGAGGAGGTCTTGAGGATGGATGCGGAAATCATGATGATTTTTGCGGCCTGAAAAGTAACCTAAAAATCTACCATCTATCTGTCCATTTTGCGTCCATGAGAATTTCAGTACGAATTCATCACGCGATCGATGCTCAGGCACCCGATCGTCATCAGTTTCCAGTAGGATATCATCACCACATATGACCGCACTGACTGACCAACCAGCACTGCTCGAGCGGATCGCACAAGGCGATCAAGAGTGCATGCGCCGATTGATCGATCAATACACCGGTCTCGTCTGGTCTCTGGTTCGCAGGAAAGTATCGAACAAAGCCGACGCCGAGGATCTCGTGCAAGATATTTTCGCTGAAATCTGGAAAAGCGCCAAGCGTTACAAACCCGAGATGGGATCCGAAGCGACATTCGTTTCAGTGATCACACGCCGTCGCGTCATTGATTACATCCGCAAGGTGACGCGCCGGGACCCAGAAGTCCAGTTTGATGGTGCCGTGGAATACAGTGCAGCTGATACACCGCAATCAAACGAAACGAGTTCTGAGGAAATCGCATCTGCGATGGACATCATGCGATCCATGAGTCCGCAGCGCCGACAAGTACTTGAGCTATCCGTTATTCACGGGCTTTCGCACTCACAGATCGTGGAGTCCACGAGCATGCCGCTCGGTACTGTGAAAGCTCACATCCGCCGTGGACTCGAAGAAGTCCGTTCCATGCTCCGTTCGCGAGCTTCGCACGCTTCAACAGGGGGGGTGTCACAATGACCGATGCACACAACCCACAGTTTGACGATCGTGCAATGGATCTGATCCTTGATCGTGTCCTTGGAGAGACAGAAAACTACTCCGATGACTCCATCGATGCGCAGCTCTACCAAGAAATGGAACTCGCCGCGGCCGTGCTCGATCAAGCCGCCGCAGAGTCTGCTCCGCTGGATATGCCAGAGAGCCTCGCTGATCGGATCAAGAGTGAAGTGGATCAATACCCTGCACAGCAGGTGTATCAGTCTGAATCGCCCTATCGGATCGATCAGCATACTCCCCAATCAACACCACAGCGTGTCCAGTGGGTTCCATGGATGGTTGCAGCGGCTTCGCTGCTCATCGCATCTGCGGCGATCCTGCTCCCACGCTCAGCGCCTGTGATTCAACCGCAACCTGTAGATCTTGTTGCGGATCGACTCGCGCTGATCGATCAAACACCAGTTGACGAACTCACACAATGGGACTGGATCTCAACTGATGATCAAGCCGTAGTCGGCGAAGTGATTGGTGATGTCGTCTGGAGCGATACCCTCAACAAGGGATATATGCGGATCTCCGGACTCGCTGTCAACGATCCTTCCCTTGAGCAGTACCAACTCTGGATCTTCGACGCGACACGACCAACTGGAGATCTACCCCAGTTTGGTGAAGGACTACTCACGCAGCGTCCGATCGACGGCGGCGTATTCGACATCAACAGTGCGGGAGAGGTTATCATCGAGATCGACTCCAAGCTCGCTGTCAAGCAAGCCGCGGCGTTCGCGATCACCGTCGAGCCTCCTGGAGGCGTGGTGGTCTCAGATCGAACCCGAGTCCCATTGCTTGCACTCGCTCCGTAACACTCTCAACTCAGTGACCATATGAAAAGGGACCAGCAAGTGTGCTGGTCCCTTTTGTTTGTCCATATTGATCTAAGAAATATGGAAGCTGGTTTCTACAGATTCCATGAGTGAGAAGGATCAAGAGTTCACAAGACCGAAGCGATCAAGCATCATGACTTTGTTCCAAGCGGCGACGAAGTCCTTCACCATCCGCTCATGTCCATCATCGGAGGCGTACACCTCAGCAACAGCTCGGAGCTGAGAGTTGGATCCGAAGATCAGATCACAGCGTGTCGCGGTGTATTTGGTCTCTCCCGATGTACGATCCTTGATGAAGTAACCCATCTCGGATTTGTCCGCAGGAACCCACTCGTAATCCATGCTCGTGAGCACACGGAAGAAGTCATTGGTGAGTTGGCCCGGACGCTCTGTGAATACGCCGTGCTTGGAGTGATCAAAGTTCTGATCGAGCACGCGGAGTCCACCGACGAGCACGGTCCATTCTGGAACGGTCAGCGTGAGCAGGTTGGCGCGATCAAGGAATATCCGCTCCGGCATAACCGAGAACCCTACCTCGCGATTGTGGTAGTTGCGGAATCCATCAGAGACCGGCTGGAGCCAGTTAAAGCTCTCCGCATCGGTCTGCTCAGGGGTCGCGTCAGTGCGTCCAGGAGTGAACGGCACTTGGACCTCAACACCTGCATCTTTCGCGGCTCTCTCGAGTGCCGCACATCCGGCGAGCACGATGAGGTCTGCAAGCGAGACCCTCTTGTTCCCACTCTGTGATGCGTTGAACTCGCTCTGCACTTCGCGAAGCATATCGAGCACGCTCGCAAGCTCTTCAGGACGATTCACGGCCCAGCTGAGTTGTGGATCGAGCGCGACGCGAGCGCCGTTCGCTCCACCGCGCTTGTCCGAGTCACGGTAGTTGGAAGCGGACGACCACGCAGCGGAGATCAGCGCTGGCACCGACTGACCCTTACTCATAATCGCTTGCTTGAGGTTCGCAATGTCAGTGTCGTTCACAAGATCGTGGTCAACAGCAGGGAGTGGGTCTTGCCAAATGAGGTCCTCGCTTGGTACTTCAGGACCAAGGTAGCGTGACTTGGGACCCATATCGCGGTGGGTCAGTTTGTACCATGCTCTCGCGAAGCAATCAGAGAAGTAGTCAAAGTCTTCGAGGAATCGCTCGCAGATCTTGCGGTACTCCGGATCCACTTTGAGAGCGATGTCTGTAGCGAGCATCATCAGCTCGTTCATCTGTCCTTCGATATGAGCGTCAGGAGTCTTCGGTGCATCATCAGTCTTTGGTTTGTACTGGATACCACCCGCAGGGCTCTTGGTGAGTTCCCATTCGTACTTGAACAGGTTCTCAAGATACGCGTTATCCCACTTTGTAGGCTCAGGTGTCCACGCGCCCTCGATGCCGCTGGTCATCGCGTACTCAGCGAAACCGGTGCCTTCTTTGTTCTGCCATCCGAGTCCCATTGCATGGATTGGAGCGCCCTCTGGAGCAGGGCCGATCTTGTCGGCGCTGACCATGCCATGGCTCTTTCCAAATGCGTGTCCGCCAGCGATCAACGCGACGGTCTCTTCATCATTCATCGCCATGCGTGCAAAGGTTTCTCGGATGTCATACGCAGACGACACAGGATCACCATCGCGCCGAGGGCCCTCAGGGTGGACATAGATCAGTCCCTGGAAGCTCGCTCCAAGTGGATTTTCAAGGTCGTAGTCCTTGTCACCCGGCTCGCCGACCCACCGCTTGGTGCGTGTGACCATTTCAGCGGATCCATTTTCAGGGTTCGGGAAGTACTCGTCCACAAGCTTTCCGTTCCAGAACTCTGCACCGAAGTAGATGCCCCGATCTGGTTCCCAAGTATCGATACGACCTCCGCCGAACCCAAAGGTCTTGAATCCCATAATCTCAAGCGCACAGTTTCCAGTCAGGATCATGAGATCGCCCCATGACAGTGCCGCGCCATATTTTTGCTTGATTGGCCACATGAGTCGGCGAGATTTATCGATGTTGCCGTTGTCGTCCCAAGAGCTGGTCGGCGCGAAGCGTTGCATCCCTGTGCCAGCCCCGCCGCGTCCATCCGCGATTCGGTAAGTCCCAGCGGCGTGCCATGCCATGCGGACCATCTGAGGACCATAGTTGTTGTAATCAGCGGGCCACCATTCTTTGGAGTCCGTGAGCATCTCTTTGATGTCCGCTTTGACCTGCTCGTAGTCAAGGCTCTGGAAAGCCGACGCGTAGTCGTGGTCTCCGAGCGGATTCGCTTCCGCAGGGTTTTGGTGCAGGAGCTCAATCTGCAAGCGGTTTGGCCACCAATCGTCAATCTGTGGTGCCGTACCCATAGCGCCACCAACGCGCGATCCGCGGAAGGGGCACTTCGAAGCCTGTTGTGAGCTGCCATTTGTGTTGTGATTCATAGTTCATCCTTTCCAAAGACAAATCCGATCGATTCATCGCTATGGGTTCGTTCGTATAGAGAGCGTAGGTGCCAGCTGGAGATTTTTTTGATGAACTCATTGAATTCGGATCTGATCTATCGACTGGATAAAGTACACATTGTGCGGCTGTACTCGCAGGCGCACTGAGAAGCCATAGCTCCGTAGAAATTCGCTGCAATCGACATCGCATTGCTCATGGTGCTTTGCGAATGCATCAAGCTTCGCGATAGACCAGTGGTCTGGGAATGGTTCGATAGTGATCTCAAAACGCGTATCAACAATGTTCAATCGCGAATCAAATATGTACAAACCGTATAAGGTGCCAACATGACATCGAGACAAAGTTGTTTGGGTCGTAGCATGCGGCAGCGTGCAGCAACAACCAATGGGATCAGTCCCAAAAAAATAAGGGACCAGCGTTTAAGCCGATCCCTTCTGCTTGTCGCCACTCTGGTCTCTAAGGACTACAGAATGACTTGAATGGGCCTGGGCAGACTCGAACTGCCGACCTCACCGTTATCAGCGGTGCGCTCTAGCCAACTGAGCTACAGGCCCTCGGGTCACGAGTATACCCCGCAATTCCCTCGTCGTCACCAATTCATCGGTCCAGAATCGACCTCCGGAGCAGGAATCCCACAACTTCACCCCTCCCCGGCGTGTTCTTCGGACCAAAGGGTCGTAAAATAGTGCACCAGTGGGGTGGGGGTTGCGTATCTATGGAAGGAGTCAAACATGCGATCTGACATCAGCTACAACAACATCATCGACGGCGACGAGTTTGCACGAGCCCAGAAAGCCGCGGATGATTCCGCCGGACTCCCAGCCGAGCAAATCGATACCGAATCCTTCTATGTCACGCAGCACTACGATCGTTACTCCGAGGAGAACCATCGTGTTTGGAAGACCCTCTGGAACAAGCGCTGGGATGTGCTTGAGCAGCAAGCTTCCGATACCTACCTCACTGGACTCCGAGCGATCAATCTCGTTCCCGATCGAGTGCCTTTGCTCTGGGGAACGGTCGATGATCCTTACGAGCCGGGACGCAAGATCAAAGGCATCAACGAGTACCTCCGCGACCTGACCGGATGGTGCTCGCGAGGAGTTCCGGGATACCTCCCAGCGAAAGCGTTCTTCAGCTGTCTGTCACGCCGGGAATTCCCATCGACCATCGTCATCCGACCTGAAGACAAGATGGACTACCTCCCTGAGCCGGACATTTTCCATGATGTGTTCGGACATGTCCCGCTCCACGCGGACCCAGTCTTCGCGGACTTCCTCCAGACCTACGGCAAAGCCGCCCTCCTCGCCGGACCAGAACACGAAGAAGCACTTGCACGACTCTTCTGGTTCACTGTCGAGTTCGGACTCATCTCCGAAGGCGGCAAACTCAAGGTCTATGGCTCAGGAACCATCTCTTCGCATGCCGAGTCCGAGTATGCGCTCAACGCTCCCGAAGGCACCGGAGGTCGCGACAACGGACAGATCGAACGCCGACCTTTTGATATGGATCAAGTGATCAATACGCCGTTCGAGATCGATCACTTCCAGGACATCGTCTATGTCCTTGATAGCTTCGAGCAGCTTCGTGATGCGATGAACGACTACGCGAACCGAGTCTTGGAAGATTCCACCGCCAATGTCTGATGAGTCGCATACGACCAGCGAAAACCAACAGATCGAGCATCGCATCGACCTCGATGCGTACCTCAAACGCATCAACTACACCGGCCCATCAGACCTCGCGCCCACGCTCGAGACGCTCAAGCATCTCCAGCTTTGCCATGCAAGTGCGATCCCCTTCGAGAACCTCGATGTGCTGCTGGGCCGACGCATCGATCTGAGCATGCAAGGCATCGAACACAAGCTCGTCACGAGCAATCGTGGTGGATACTGCTTCGAGCACAACAGTCTATTTCTGCATGTTCTTCAAGGGTTGGGATTCGATGCGATCGGACTCTCCGGACGCGTGATCTTCTCCTCGCCTCCTGATGTCGTGCCCGCCCGCACGCACCTGTTCAACAGAGTCACGCTCGATGGAATCCCCTGGCTCCTCGACGTCGGAGTCGGCGGATTCACACCCACCCAGCCCCTCCGGATGGACACCCCAGACCCACAGCAAACCCCGCACGATACGCGCCGGATCATCAGTTCAAACGAACCCACCCCGGATGGATTCGACCACTGGTTCCATCAGATCCTCATCGATGATGAATGGAGAAGTGTCTACGAGTTCACCGGAGAGCAGATGCTGCAGATCGACCGAGAGGTCGGGAACTGGTGGACCAGCGCCAGCCCCCAGTCCACCTTCCGCGACAAGATCATGATCGCGATCGCCGCTCCGGACGGCTCAAGACACACGCTCGCAACTCGCAAGTACACCCACCGAATCCACGGCCAGCCCATCGAAGAGATCGACATCCAAAGCTCACTCCAGCTCCTCGACATCCTCGACCAACGCTTCGGACTCCGCTTCCCTCCTAACACCAAGTTCGGCATCGACGGGCTCTAACAATGAACGAATCGAAGCTCCACAACCACATCTACCACCGATCCACGGATCTCACCATCAGTGGTGGAAACACGCTCATCGTGGGGCCGGGAGATGACTGTGCGGTCTATCAAACCCCATCGGGAGACACCACGCTCGTCACTGTCGATCAACTCGTCGAGGGTCGCCACTTCGAATCAACCATCAGCATCGACCTCATTGCGCGCAAAGCAATCGCGAGATCAGTCTCTGACATCGCCGCGATGGGAGGGACTCCCTCATGGTCACTCGGGACCGGAGTGCTCCCGAAGGACTTCAAGCACGCCGACGAGCTCTTCGACGCGATGCACAAGTGGGCGCTCCACTGGGGATGCCCTTTGATCGGAGGCGACATCGCGTCCCACGCATCAGCAGACCACCCGCTCACCCTGAGCGTCACCGTCGGCGGCACAATGCCCAAAGACACCTCGCCCGTCCTGCGAAGCGGCGCTCAGCCAGGAGATGAGCTGCACCTCACCGGACAAGTGGGGGGGAGCTTCGCATCAGGTTGGCACCTGCTCTTCGAACCTCGAATCCAAGCCGGACAGTGGGCTGCGGAGTCAGGCGTCCACGCGATGATGGACCTCTCCGATGGACTCGGACGCGACACGGACCGCATCGCCAAAGCCTCCGGACTCATCATCGAGATCGATGCGACCAAGCTCCCGATCAATCACAGATGCAAAGACTGGCGCGAAGCCGTGAGCGAGGGCGAGGACTACGAGCTGCTCATGTGTATCGATCCATCAACCACCATCCCAAGCATGGACCCACCATTGCAAGGCCCCATCGGCACCTGCCGAGCATGCAATGCAGACGAATCCCCCGGCGCGATCATCATCGATCCCCACGGGAACCATCACAACGCCGCAAGCATGGGATGGGATCACTAGCACTCAGCCGGTTGTCTCAATCAGCGTCATCGCCGCGGAACGACCGCTCAGCCAAGCGCTCTGCACACCAAGCGAGAGCCCCTTCCATCCAAACGCGTCGCCGCAGACCACGATGCTCGCATCGTCATTCGTTTCGCATCGCTGAGGAAGGCCCTCGACAGGATGCGCCGAACCCCACCGATGCACCTGCACATCACCAATGCGTTGGTCGTCAATATCATGTCCGAGCATCGAGGACACCAACGATCGCGTTTGCTGGGTCAATACCCGCTGAGCTTCGACGCGATCCAGCTCACGATTCACAGCAGACCAGTCCTCGCGTGCATGAATCACGAGCGTCGATGAGTCAGTTTCCCGCGCTCGTCCAGGTTTGTGATCATCACGGATGATCCGTGCAATGATTTCTTCACTGCAGTCACTGTCATCACCCACATCAACCATTGCCGGGAGTCCTTCGAGCGGATCGTTGATCCGCATCACCAGCACCCACACGCACCGCGTCTCCACCGATCCGAGCACCGAGCTGATCATGTTCGAATGCTCTCCGATGAGCCGAGCCGATTCGCGTGGATGCGTTGCCAGCACTACCTGCTCGCACCGCTCAGTCACGCGAGCACCATCGCGCCGCTCAACCTCAGTTTCCCACATCCCATCCTGACGCATAATGCGATCAACCCGACACCCACTCCGCACATCGATCCCCTGCGCCATGCGATCCACAACCGCATCCATCGTCGGCACACCAACAAACGAGTCCCCAGCCCCATCCCATCGAGCGCACGCCCCCGAACCAATCCAGCGCTGAACTTCATTGAGAAACACAGGATCATCCGCATCAAAGCAAGGCGCGCCAAGATCCGAAACGACCACGCCCTCAAGCGTCCGCCGAGTCGTGCAGCGTCCACCGATCCGATACCCACGATCAAGAACGCGGACATCAATCCCCGACTCGTGCAGCATCGAGGCGCAGGACAACCCGCTGATCCCGCCCCCGATCACCAGCACCTTGCTCGCCGAATCACTCAAGGCATCGATACACGATCAAAGACATACCCGCCCTTGACCGCGCCCCAGACCTGCTCGCCGTTGGCATCGTACCCACGATCCCAGGTCACCAAACGATCCTTGCGGAGCAGCACCTCGCTCGTCGCGTAGCTCGCGCCGCGGAGCTCAGACTGACAATCACGCCCGTTGGTCGAGCCAACAAACGCACGCTGATCCTCGTCCCAGCTCACCACAATCGCGCACCCCACGCGGATCGAAAGATCCTCAGGGGTCAGCTCAGCGAGCGGCATCTCATCCATATACGCGCCCGCGAACCGCTCAGGGTTTTCAAAGCTGTACACCGAAGAGGAGTACGAGTTCTTATCGATCTGCTCCAGGTGATACACCCGCTGACGATACGGCTGCCCCGCGTTGCTCGCGGCCGCCTGCTCGACGTACAACCAAGGCCCATCATCGCGATCTTCCCAGATCGGGACCATGTGCAGCACGATCTCGTAGAACTCCGGATCACGCTGCGACTGCGCATACGACGAGAACGAACCGGTCAAGAACTGCTCAAACCGCATCAGTCCGATCGAGTGGGATCGGATCTTGCGAGCCGCGTGCTTGTACGCCGGTTTCTCGTCTTTCCGCGTGTCGGATTTCCACCACTTCCCGCACGACGCAGTGCCGGTCAGCAGCACCAGCGATGCGGAAATCAGGAGCGACTTTGAAAGAAGCGAGCGTTGCGTGTTGTCCATCATGGTTCCTTGTGCGTTGTGATGTATCGGAATGCAGGTCTTGGAAAACTGATCTTCTGGGTTTGGCTTATGGGGTCTGTTTATGGGTTTTTGGGTTTGCCGTTGCTTTTGCCCTTGCCCTTGCCCCCGCCTTTCGGTTTGTTCTTTTTCTTCTGACCAGGACCCGCTTTGCCCGCGGCATCCCTTCGATAGTCCGTCTTCCCGCGATCGCGTGACTTGGACTTCTGACTCCGCCGCTTCCCGCCGGGAGTCTTGAACCCAGCGCCCTTGGTATCACCAAGTCCACCGAAGTCATCGCCGCCGAGCTTGAGACCCTGTCCCAAACCCTTGCCCTTTGCCTTGCCCGCGGCGCGTCGATCGGGATCCGCGATCAACAGATCCATCCGGCGCATCGCCAGATCGACCTGACTGATGACCACCGTGACCTTGTCGCCGATGGAGTAACTCCGTCCGGAGTGGATATCGACAAGCGCTCCGGTTCGATCGTCGATCTTAAACGTCGGAGGACGCTTTGCGCGTGTCGTGTCCCCAGGAAGGTCCTGCTTCTGGATCATGCCGTCCGCGAGATACTTCTCGATCTGGACGTACACACCCTTGGGGGTCACCCCAGTAACAAACCCATCAAACTCCTCACCGATATGCTCCGCCATGAGTTGCAGAACAAGGAACTGACGCAGCGCGCGTTCCGCGTCCGCGGCATTGACCTCAGTATTGGAGCAGTTGTTCCCGATCGTCTTGAGCGTCTGCTCATCAGGACACAGATTGTCCTCTTTGAGCTCTTTCCCCAGCGCGATCTTCGCGGAGTCGGACTTAGGATAGTTGACGCCGTTATCCGTGCGCTTGAGGTACGCGACCAGCGCCCTGTGCAGCGTCAGGTCGGGGTAGCGACGAATCGGGGAAGTAAAGTGCGAATACGCATGACTCGCAAGCGCGTAGTGCCCAATGAGGGCCGGCGAGTACACCGCTTTGGTCATCGTCCGCAAGACCGCGGTGTGCACGGCGCGAGCGGCGCCTGTCCCAGCGGTCGCGTCCAGCAGTGTCTGGAGCTCCTCACGCGTCGGGTTCTTCGGGATCCGATACCCCGCGACCATCGCGGTCTTCTTGAGTTCTTCTACATCGCCAGGAGTTGGCTCGGGGTGGGTTCTTCTCAGCACTGGAACCCGCATCGCTTCAAACAGCGTCGCGAGCGCCTCGTTCGCTTCGACCATGAACATCTCGATGATCGTGTGCGTGAACGCGTCGTCTTCCTTGTGCGCATCGATGACCTTGCCCGTGTCATCAAACACCAGCTCAACATCAGGGAGGTCCAGATGGATCATCCCCGCCTTGTGACGACGAGCACGGATCAATCGAGCGAGCGTGTCCATGTCCTTGCACACATCGATGATGTCCTGTGTGTGAGGCGTGTCCGTCTTCGCGTTCTTCTTCGCTTCTTCCAGATCGCCGTCGATAAGCGCCTGCGCTTCGAGGTAGGTCATCCGCTTGCGTGACTTGATCAACGACTGACACACCCCGCGCGATCGCACGTTGCCCATCTTGTCGTACTGGATCACGCAGGTCTTCGCGTAGCGCAGCACGCCCTCCTGCAGCGAGCAGATGCCGTTGCTCAAGACCTCTGGGAGCATCGGGATCACCAAGCGAGGCAGGTACACCGAGTTCCCACGCTCCGCCGCTTCCAGATCCAGCGCCGATCCCGGCGCAATGAAATGCGACACGTCCGCGATGTGGATCCCCAGTTCCCACCCGCCATCATCCAGACGCTTGAGAGAGATCGCATCGTCATAATCCTTCGCATCCGGCGGATCGATCGTGCAGATCAGGTCCTCCGTCAGGTCACGGCGCATATGCAGCGACTCGATCCCCTGTGTTTCAAACCGCGACATCTCCTCATCAAACCGCTGCGTCGCCTCGCGTGCCTGCTGGACGCACTCCTCAGGGAACTCATTGCTCGGGAGCGAGTACGCCGCGATGACCGCCTGCGTCTCAACATCGGGATCACCCGCTGCCCCAAGCACCTTGGTGATCACACCCTCCGCGAGGTAGTCCCCCTCCGGATAATCGATGATCTCAACCACCACCTTATCACCCGGCTTCACGTTCTTGGATTCCGCATCGCGGATGATGATCGGATCCGTCAGCTCGCGACCATCGGGATACACCAGCCAGCGCCCGTCGCGCTTGTCGATCTCTCCTGAGAACGCTGAACGCTTGCGCGCGATGATGTCGATGACCTCTCCGGAGTACTGGCGCTCCAGCGTCCCGAGCTTGCGCTCACGCCGCTTGTCGCGCTCGTACCAGATCTTGACCGTGTCGCGATCCAGCGCGCCCATCGTCGCGTGGGGAGGGATGAACACATCCCCGCCGTGGGTCGTGCGGGATGGGGAGACGAACCCGATCCCGCTGCGCGTCGAGCGGAACTCGCCGATCATCTCTCCTTCGTCTTCACGGAACGGGAGATGAACCTTCCCCGCGTCATCGATCGCGACGATTTCTTCTGCCGCGAGTTCGCGCACAGCGACCCCGAAGTCCTCCACATCCTCGATGTTGAGATCTCTCGCGAGGATCGGGATCTGAGCGGGTTGGTACGATTCGTGCGAAATGTGAGCGATCAAGCGATCGCGGAAGCGTTCTGCCATGAGCCACTCTATCGACCGACTTCCGCTTGTGCGGGCACATTCTCCCATCAAACCAGCACTTTGACCATATCATCCGTCATGGCGCTCACCGCGACCAACCTGTCGTTCAGCTACCCCAAAGGCCCGATCGTGCTCTCGTCGATTTCCGCGTCGATCGAGCCAGGAGCCATCACCGCGATCCTCGGTCCAAACGGTGCCGGAAAGTCCACACTCGCTCGACTCCTCGCTGGTGTGCAAAAGCCCGATTCAGGATCAATCAACCTCGATGGACGCTCTGTTCAAGAACTCAGCGTCCAAGAACGAGCGAGTAAACTCGCTTATATCGCGCAGCGATCCTCGCTCGCCTTCGATTTCGATGCGCGATTAGTGGTCTCATTCGGGAGACTGACCCTCCCTAAAAAAACAGCAGCCGTAGAACACACGCTTGAACGTTTCGGATTGACTCCGATCGCAGACAAACCAATGGGCACCCTCTCCGTTGGTCAGCAGCAGCGTGTCTCGATCGCGCGTGCATTCGCTCAGCTCGATGGGACGACCGATTCGTACCTGATCGCTGATGAACCCACCAGCGCTATGGATCCGCGTCATCAACTCGAATCACTTGTTGCGCTGCGTGAGATCGCTTCCAAAGGTATCGGAATCGCATTGGTCGCACACGATCTGACGCTTGCATCCCGATTCGCGGATCGAATCATCCTGCTCGATCAGGAAGGTCTAGTCCACACCCAAGGCAACGCAGCGGAGGTCCTAAATCCTGAAATCATCGAATCGGTCTACCAAACACCGTTTATTCAGTCACAAATCGATGGACACAATCTACTGATCCCTGCAACACCACGCCGCGCATCCGATACAATACAGCACGCATGAACTTCCAGTCGATCCTCCAGAATATCCTGACGAATCCGATCTTCATCATCATGATCATCGGTGGTTTCTCTGCGCTTGGTCGTGCGATGAAAGCCGCTCAAGAAAAGCAAGCACAAAAGCGCGAACTTCAAAAACTACGAGACGCGCAGCGTGACTCGCTCCGGACAGGACATCAGGTCGAATCCACGCAGGACGCGGATGTTGACATTGCGGGAACGCAATCCACTACCTGGGATCAGAAACAGGATCTGCGCCGACAGCGGATCGAGAAGCTCCGTCAACAGCGTGTCGAGCAACTCAAGAAAATCCGTCAACGCCGAAGCGCCGGGACCAGTCAGTCATCTTCTCAACCATCTTCGCCTCAGCAAACCGCAACTCCGCAATCCCCTGTACGAACCAAAGCGGCTTCTCAGTCGAGCAAACAGCAGCAGTTCAAAACCTCGGCCTCTCAACGCTCTCAAGCGAGTCAAACTCCACCAACACCTCAGCAACCACAAGTCACCCGCCGACGCCGTCCGTCAGTGATTCCATCTGCGAGCGCGATGGGACAGCGATCCGAGCAAGCGATCGAATCAGCTGACATCAATCTCGGAAAGACACTGGACAACAACTCCGCAATCGAGGACGGATCGATTGTCAATACCGCAAAGACACGCACCAAGGATTCAAAGTCATTCATCGTCAAGAATCTGCGTCAATCCATCATCGCACGAGAAGTCCTTGGTCCACCGATAGCGATGCAAACCGCGGATTCCGATACCGCTTCAATCCGCTGAGTTCAGGATCAAATCGCCGATATACTTGCCATATGAACATCACGCGTTCAATCCAACTCGCCGTATTTGTGACCATTCCAGCAATGCTCAGCGCCTGCGGCTCTCTCGGGAACGCACCTCGCGGAGCGGACAGTCTGCTGGACATCATCAATCCGCAAACCTCCCCGACGACCGCCGCGATCCTCGCGACCGACGAGTACAACGCCGAGAACCGATACCGAGGCACAACTATGCTCGCCGCCGCACCATTCGGTGGTGACCCAATCTACCTCGAACTCTATATCGACGGCACCGATGACCCCGATCCCGGAGTCCGCGCCACCTGCATCCGCGCACTGGGACGCCACGGCGATCCGGTCCACGCTCCATATCTCATCAACGCGCTCGATGATGAAGACAGCAAAGTCCGCATCGCCGCGGCTCGCGCGCTCCAACGCGTGCATACAGATGATGCGATCCCCGCTCTCATTGAAACAATCAAAGAAGAACAAGAACCAGAAGCCGATGCGCGTGCCGCTGCTGCTGATGCGTTGGGACAGTATCGCGAGCCGTTCGTTGTACAATCACTCATTGCAGCACTTCGTGATTCCAGATTGGTTGTGAACAACCGCGTTCAGCACTCGCTCAATGTGATGACTGGTCAGGACTTTGGTGTCGATCACGCGGCATGGCTCCGCTGGTACAACGAGACCGACGACCTCTTCGCTGCTGGACAGTTGTATACCTATCCAGTCTTCAATCGCAAAAAGCGGATCGTCGAGTACCTCCCGTTCGTGCCTCAGCCGCCGAACGAAGAATCCTCGACCCCAGTCGGTCTCAATCCGATCGAGGAATAGATCGGCGGATATCCTGATCCACCCAGAGCACCGATCTGGGTCCGAGAATCATTCACAGAATAAAGACCGCTGGCCGGAATCGCCCATTATTCCGATACTTTAATCGTGCGTGCGTTCCATATCCAGTCCGATCAGCCCGTCATGACCATCGACGCGCCCGAACCGACCCGCCAACCAGGATGGGCCGTGGTCGCACCGTCGCTCGTGCTCATCACCGAATCTGACATCGACGCGATCCGCAATCACCGCCACGACACGATACTGGGACATCAGTTTGTTGGGATCGTTCTCGATGCAGACGACCACGAATTGATCAATAAGCGAGTTGTTGCAGATGTCAATATTACTGATCCGCAGTCATCCTTTGCATTGCGTGGGATCGGTCAGCACGATCCAGATCGATCCATCCTCGGACTCCGGAACACGCCGGGATGCTTGAGCGAACGATTCCAAATCCCTCAGCGCAATCTCATCGTTGTCCCAGACGGCATCGAGGACGAGCGAGCAGTATTCGCTTCCCAACTCGCCGCCGCGATCCATGTGTCGCGCATCGAGCGCATAGTCGGAAAGACCTTTGTCACCGTGCTTGGAGGAGATCTGTCTGCACTGCTCATCGCGCAGATCATGAGCTCGCAAAACGCATCAGTCCGTTTGCTCACCACGCGCCCCGATCGACTGGAGTTGTGCGCCAAGTGGGGAATCAAGCACCGAGACCTGACTGAGGTTGGTCGCCGAGCGGATCAGGACATCGTGATCGATACGCTCTCGGAACCAGATTCCATACCCACAGCACTCGCGATGGCACGACCTCGCGGCGCGGTCATCCTGCAAAACAACCCGATCCCGGCGATCACCGACGCACAGATGGCACCTGAAGACCTCGCGATGCTGATCGAGCGTGAACTCCGCATCTCAGGATCCCGCTGCGGCACGCTCAGCGATGGCATCAGCGCGTTGCAATCCGGATCGATCGATCTATCAGGACTCATCACCAAACGCGTAAGCTTCGATGAGGTGATGTCAGGGATGCGCGCCGCGATCGAACCAGAGCACATCGCCGTGCTCGTTCAGATGTCATGAATCTCGATTGAGACGAGTCCTCACGGCAAAGCCGGGATCGAAGCGGTCACGCCCTCGGGCCACATCGCCGCGAATACCCCCGCAGTAATCAACGCGAAGATCACGCCATCAATGAAGCTCGTAATGATGAATCGTGTCGGCTTGCCGAGGAAGAAATCGCCGGCAAACGAGCCCATGCAGAATCCAAGAATTGCGGCGGTCCCAGCAACACGGAACACATCCATGTAGTCAGCGCCTGGCGCAAGACCGACTCCTGTGAGGTATCCGACGATCGCAGTAATCGCAAGGTAGGACAAGAAACACTTGAGCAGATTCATCCCGAAGTTGGGAGGTCCCGCTCCAATCGTGATCATGCCCCAAGGTCCGGCCTTCCATCGTGCTTGAAACTCTTCAGACTTGAGATCCTTGCCGTGACATCCCGGGAACATATACAGACCCGGCTTGATGTTCATCGGACGGATCGCGTTATCGAAGTCTTCCTCGTTCTCAAGAAACTTGATATCCGGTTTATGGATCGGAAGCGCCATCCAAATGATGGAACTGGCAATAAAGACCGCAACAGCCGAGATCAATACTGGCATCCAGAGTTCTGCAAGACCAACCATGAGAGTCCACCTTTCGTTGAGTGTGCGTTTGATCAGTATACCAGAAGTCTCTCAGTTCCCGCAAGACACGAAAAAACCCGCTTCAAGCGGGTCTTATCAATCATGAATGTTTGAGAGCTCAGCCAGCAGTCGGCATGGACTCGAGTACCTCGTCGATCAAGCCGTACTCCAGCATCTCGCTGTCATCCAACCAGAGGTTCCGGTCACAATCGCGATGGACCTTCTCCTGATCCTGACCGGTCGCGTGCGAGTAGATCGCATACAAACGATCACGCAAGCGGAGCATCTCCTTCGCTTCGATCTCTAGGTCAGTCGCTTGACCCTCCATCACGCCTGACAGCAGCGGCTGGTGCATGAGGTTGCGAGCGTTCTTGAGGCAGTAGCGTTTGCCTTTGGTCCCCGACGATGCGATCACCGATCCCATCGACGCGGCTTGTCCGATGATGTACGTGCACACATCGGGTTTGATGTAGTTCATCGTGTCCACAATCCCAAGACCAGCCGTGACCGATCCGCCGGGAGAGTTGACATAGACGTGGATGTCCGCGGTGGGATCCTCGTTGGCGAGGAACAGCAGCTGAGCGACGATGAGGTTCGCCATGTCATCCATGACGCCTCCGGTCACGAAGACGATGCGGTCCTTGAGCAGACGAGAGAAGATATCGTACGAGCGCTCACCGCGACCGGTTTGCTCGATGACGATGGGAACCAGATGGGCACTTGGGTTTGACATATGCATGCACCTTGTGGTGGTGGGGGTGTTTTGAAAATCCGTGATCAGTTACCAGCAGTGATGTTGTGCAGGTCCTTCGGTGGTTCGACGAGCACTTCGTCTACGAGGCCGTAGTCCTTCGCTTCCTGAGCATCGAAGTACTTGTCGCGTTCAGAATCTTCGCGTACTTGCGCCGGATCTTGTCCAGTGTGCTTCGCGATGATGTCGATCAGCGTCTGCTTGCTCTTGATGATCTGTTCCGCTTGGAGCTTAATGTCCTCCGCTTGACCAGTGATCCCACCGTACGGCTGATGGATCATCACCTTCGCATGAGGGAGGATGAATCGACGGCCCTTCGTCCCAGCGGTCAGCAGCACCGAGCCACCGGAATACGCGCGTCCGATGCAGTAGGTCGCGATCGGAGAGCTCAGGAATCGCATCGTGTCGTAGAGCGCGAGCGTGTCGTCCACGACCCCGCCCGGCGAGTTGATGTAGAAGTTGATCTCCTGATTCCGGCGCTGATTCTCCAGATACAGCATCTGCATCATCACACGAGATGCCGAGGCATGATTAATCTCTCCGATGAGGAACACGATCCGATTTTCGAGCAGGAGCTCGTCGATCGACATCTCGCGCGTCCGTTGATAACTTACTGATGCTGAGGCCATAAGTCGTTCCTTGACAGGGGTCAAGCGTTTATTCAGGACGGTCCGGCGGACCAAAGAGTCCCAACAAAACGGGTCCATTCCCGCATATCTATCGGGAATCGACGATCTCAGCATGATATTCCCTTCCCAAACGGATTGAAAAACAAACCACCAACAATCCCAACCAATCCACGAACCCCCAAATAGGGACCTTGAGCATCGATTCGACCTCTGGACCAGCCGATCCGTTGCTCTTTTCGACCGAGCTTTCTACAGTTCACGCCTGCTACTCAGATCGCGTGATCTGAGACCCAGCCCCATCCTTTATATATGGATGAGAACGAAAGAGACGATCCTGTGCGAACCGCTGTTCTGAGTGATATCCATGGCAACGCCGTCGCGCTCAAAGCGGTCCTCGAGGACATCAAGACGCGCGATATCGACAAAATCGTCTGCCTCGGAGACATCATCGGATACGGCCCAGACCCCCTCGAATGCGTCGACCTCGTCCAGGAACACTGCGACTGGGCGCTGATGGGCAACCACGACTTCGCCGTCGTCTACGAACCCACCAACTTCAACGCGCCCGCCGAGTCCGCGGCGTACTGGACACGCGAGCAGTTCGACGCTGAACCAGACGAAGCCGCTCGCACGCGCCGATTCGAGTTCCTCGGATCCCTCCGCGTCCGCGCCGTCGAAGACCTCATGGGAGACGGCACCAAGATCCTCTCCGTGCACGCGTCCCCTCGCCGTCCGATCAACGAATACATCTTCCCAGAAGACGCCAGCGACGCACCAGACAAACTCGAAGCGATCTTCGACCGCGTCGAGCACATCGCACTGGTCGGACACACCCACCAGCCCGGCGTGTTCTCGAACGAACCCGATTTCTATCCACCATCGGAGATCGGCTCCGATCCAGTATTTAAGTTCATCGACGACGAGAAAGCCGTCGTCAATGTAGGATCCGTCGGACAACCGCGTGATCATGATCCGAGAGCGTGCTACACGATCCTCTCGCCTGGTCAGGTCGAGTTCGTCCGAGTGGAATACGACATCAAAGCGACCGCGGACAAAATCAAGTCCATCCCCGAGCTCCACGATTGGCTCGGAGATCGATTGTTTGAAGGCCGTTGATCCATTCCGTCGTTCACGACATACACCGCCGAACCCTCGGCACGATCGATCAAAGCGAGCACGCACTTGCGCCACCATCTCCGCCATATCCTGACTGTCACACTGACCCTGCTCATCGGACTTGGTGGATCGACCACCGTCGCCCAAGACAACCAACCTGATGCGCAGCCAACAGAGTCACTCTCCGCACGACCTGTGGAAACGACCACTGATTGGTCTCCGCTGATCGACAACCTCGAAGAGCTCGAGATCCAGTTCAGCCCCATCGGAGCAGGAATTGAGAGCCTCGTACTGCTCGATGAGTTCGAGACGGTCGCGTTTGAAGAGAACATCCAGATCCAGCATCGCATCGAGAATAACGCTGGAGTCTCTGCTGTGCCCTTCGCGCTGCTCGGACTCGAAATCGACGGCGTCAGTGTCGATCTCTCCGGGAGCGTCTGGAACGAGATTTCAATAGGTGTATTCGAAGCTTTCATCGATGACGCACAAGGCAACCCCATCGCACGCATCCAGCGCGAGTTCGTCATGCGTGATGCTCGCCACGCGTTCACGATCGAACAAATCGTTGAGAACCTCAGCAGCGAACAGCACACCTTCCGTTTCATCAACACCGCGATGATCGACATGCCCAAAGCGAAGAACGGCTACGCGGGTGATCGCCGTCGCGTCCGCTTCGGGACACTGAAGTCGCTTGAAAAGCAAGGCGCTTCTGTTCAGGTCAGCGTTGACGACAAGCTCTCCAATCGCTCCAAGCTGCTCGGATCAAAGATCAAAGATTCCTCAGGGACAAAGCACTACCAGACCGCACATCCAGTCTGGCCGAGCGAGGAAAGCATTGAAAAGGGACTCCGGCTGAGCTGGATCGCGTTCTCCGATCGCTATTTCTCTGTCGTCCTCCATCCGATGCTCGATCCAATGAGCACCACCCCCGATCATCGCTTGATCGGAGATTCCATCGAGTCCATCGACCGATTAGTCCTCAACACCTACAGCAGCGCTCCAGATACCACAATGGTGCTCTCGACCAAGAGTCCAGAGTTCACACTGCTCCCAGGCGCCACCAAATCTATCATCAACGGCGTCTACGCCGGACCTCGCACCAAGCCGGTCTTCAACGAAGACCCCATCCTCGCAGCGCTGAATCTCCCAGAGATGGTCGTCTACAACATCGGAGGTTTCTGTGCCGGATGCACCTTCGATTGGTTGACCAACATCCTCATCGCTGTGCTGCGGATCTTCCACTCGATTGTCCAGGATTGGGGAGTCTCGATCCTTCTGCTCGTGGTCGTCGTGCGTGGATGCTTACATCCGATCACACGCTGGTCACAGATCCGAATGCAACGCTTCGGTGTCCAGATGCAATCCATGGCTCCAAAGCAGAAAGCACTCAAAGAGAAGTACAAAGACGATCCGAAGCGCATGCAGCAGGAAATGACCAAGCTCTGGCGCGAGGAAGGCATCTCGCCGCTCGGGATGCTCGGATGTCTCCCGATGCTGCTCCAGTCCCCTGTCTGGATCGCGTTGTACGCAACACTCTTCTTCGCCGTCGAGCTCAAGCACGAACCCGCGTTCTACGGCGTGTTCCAGAATCTCACAGGCGGATCGTGGATGTTCCTCTCAGACCTGTCCGCAGCGGATAACGCGATCCCGCTCCCAGAGTTCATGCACTTCTCCTTCCCGCTCTGGGGAATAGTATCTTCTGTGAATATCCTTCCGTTGTTGCTCGGTGTCGTGTTCTTCCTCCATCAAAAGTACCTCACCCCACCAACACAGTCCACGCTCACCCCTGAGCAAGAGTCGCAGCAGAAGATGATGAAGGTCATGATGGTCGTGATGTTCCCGATCATGATGTACACGGCGCCATCCGGACTCGCGCTCTACTTCATCACCAACTCGACGATGGGTATCCTCGAGAGCAAGTGGATCCGCGCTCACATGAAGAAGCACGGCATGCTTGAGATCGAGAACATCAAAGCCGAGAAAGCGAAGAAGGGGCCAGGTTTCCTGCAGCGCATGAACGAAGCCGCTGAGGCGCGTCGTCAGCTCATGGAAAAAGGGCCGCAACCCCCGAATCCAGCATCGCGTCAGTTCCGCGAGAAGAAGTGATCCATGCCGACCGGCGGGACCATCGCGGCTATCGGATCCCCTGCGGGACAGAGCACCCGAGCGATCATCCGCATCTCAGGATCAGATGCGCGAGCATGCGTCCAATCACTGACCACGCTTGAGAACCCAACACGAGGTATTCACCGCGCTCGTATCTCCATCGACGAGTATCACACAATACCTTGCATGCTCATCTGGTTCGATGGTCCAAAGAGTTACACCGGAGAGGATGTCGCTGAGCTCATTGTGGTCGGAAACCCAACTCTGCTTGAGCGATTGCTCGACAAGATCTTCGAGTCCCCAGCGATCCGCCGCGCTGAGCCTGGAGAGTTCAGCGCGCGTGCATATCTCAACAATCGATTAACGCTTGCTCAAGCCGAGGGGGTCGCACTGCGGATCGCAGCAGTGGGGGGCGAAGCACTCAGCGCCGCCAATCACCTCCTCGATGGTTCCCAAGGCGAGCAATGTACATCTTGGGCCGAGGAACTCGCGCTGCTGCTTGCGCTTGTTGAGTCTGGAGTGGACTTCACAGACCAAGACGATGTCGTCCCGATCCCACCAAGCGATCTGCTCAATCGACTCAATACATTGTGTGCACAGCTCCAGTGCGAAGTCGGAAGCGAGACCGGCTCGGCGCTCCGAACAAGCGATCCAGAAGTTGTCCTGTGTGGTCAACCCAACGCCGGGAAGAGCGCCCTGTTCAATGCCTTGCTCGGAGTCCATCGTTCAGTCGTCAGCGATCGTGCAGGCACGACACGCGACGCGATCAGTGAGCCGATGGAACTCGAGCGTGATATCCCAGGTGCCGGGACCATCGCGCTCACAGATATCGCAGGACTCGGAGACTCCGCCGTGGATCCGCTCGACGAGATCGCACAGCAACGATCCCGAGAGCATCTCAAATCCGTTGATGCACTGATCTGGTGCGATCCGTCAGGACGATTTGAGGATCGAGAACAACTCGCATCACTCGACAAACCCATCATCAGAGTCCGCACCAAAGCCGACCTCGTGATCGATACGCAGATCCAACCCAACGCGATCAGCGTCTGCGCCCTTGATGGACACCGAGTTGATGTGCTCAAGCGTGCAATCGCCGATGCTGTCACAAATCGTAAAGACATGGGGGTTGGAGCATTCGTACCTCGCCATCGTCGAGCAATCGCCGATGCAATCCGAGGCATCGACAGCGCGATTCAGTGGATTGATCCAAGCGCGTATTCACTCGATGCGCCGGAACTCGTTGCTTCTGGATTACGCGATGCGCTCGACGCACTCGGAGAACTGACCGGCGAAATCACCCCTGACGATGTTCTCGGGCGTATATTTGCGACCTTCTGCGTCGGAAAATGACCCCTTTTATCGGCGCGTCTCGTATTACAAAGCCTGTTCGTGCAAACGAATCTTCAAGACAATGTGAGTTCTGTCTCGGCTTGCACTAAAGACGCATGCAACGACGACCAATACTCCCAGATCGCGCAAAAAAAGCATGCAATCATCCATCTGATCAGATCACAAGTCGATCCAGTGACATCACATCGTTCCTGTTCTGGAACGCAGTCACACCCGGCGTGAATGAAGAACACGCCCTGGAGCACCAATCATGGCACTACGGCTCGGCGATCTCCTCGTTCAATACGGCGTTCTCACCCCAGATCAATGCGATCAGGTCGTCCAAGAACAAGAATCCAACCCAAGACCGTTCGGATTACTCGCTGAGGAGATGTTCGGCATCGATCCCGGAGTCATCGAGCACGCGTGGGCTGTCCAGTTCGCGATGATCTCGCCCCGAATCAATCCATGCTCGATCGAGATTGATGAGGACATCCGATCCGTGATCACCAGCCGACAAGCATGGCAGTTCGGGTTCATCCCCGTCGAGCGTCATAACGAGGGTATCGTCTGTGCGACATCCATCGAATGCCTCGCACGCGCACTCCGATTTGTTGGATGGCGTGTCGAGGAACAATGCTCGTTTGTGATCTGTGACCATCAGTCACTCGAGACTGGTCTTTCGATTCATTATCCGATGGATGGCGTGGATTCCGAGATGATGAACCGTTTCCTGAGCCGACCACCAGCGGCCTGAGTGTCCTGAGTGAAAGAAAAACGGAGCCGACCATAAGATCGGCTCCGTGAACGGCATTGGAATTCTACTCGGGATCGATCAGATCTGATCAATCCCCAAGAGGATTACCGGCGAGTCGCTTTGCGGCGAGTTGCCTTCTTCTTCGTGGTCTTCTTAGCTGCTTTTTTGCGAGTGGCTTTCTTTTTAGTAGCCTTCTTGCGTGTAGCTTTCTTCTTAGTGGCCTTCTTCGCGGTCTTCTTGCGTGTAGCCTTCTTCTTGGTAGCTTTCTTGCGAGTGGCTTTCTTCTTCGTAGCCTTCTTCTTAGTAGCTTTCTTCGCGGTCTTCTTGCGAGTAGCTTTCTTCTTGGTCGCTTTCTTGCGAGTGGTCTTCTTCGCAGCCTTCTTACGGGTTGCCTTCTTCTTGGTAGCTTTCTTCTTGGTCGCCTTCTTAGCAGCCTTCTTGCGAGTAGCTTTCTTCTTGGTTGCTTTCTTCCGGGTTGCTTTCTTCCGGGTTGCTTTCTTCGCTACCTTTTTACGGGTCGCTTTTTTGCGAGTCGCTTTTTTACGAGTTGCTTTTTTCTTAGCCATGTCGGCTCTCCGTTTCGAACCCAAATGCTGTGTTGTGGAGCCGAGTGTTCGAGATCGGAACCACATACCGTTATTGACACTTACCAGACTCATCGGAGCCTGAAGGTCGACGACTTGAGTGAACAGCGCCAACAACTCACACTTCACTCAATCAAATCATACAAAAACAATGCGCGCTCTGCGCTTTTTTTCAAGTTTGTCAAACCACGCGTGCTCCGGCGTTATTCACTTCGTGTTCGAACAACACAAAGTTCAACAGTCTCAACGCGATGCGCACGCCGTGAGTTCGCCAGTTCTGTGCTGCAGAATTTGTTTGTGATTCGCGTTATGGCATCAAACAACCAGTTTCTGATCACGCCAAGAATTCAAACAACCCATGTTTCGTTCAAAAACACGGAACCCAACAAGATCGACGCAGTTCGACGCGCATTTGAACGCAATTCGTGAAAGTTCGAGAGACTGAAATTGTGCGCTGATGGGAATTTTCGCCGTTTGAAGTGAAGAATCACACCGCTGAAACACCAAACGCGTTGATTCACAGAACAGGTGCACGATGACAACAACACACAATCAGATCATGCAAACAACACTCGACAACGGCTTACGCATCGCCGTGCAACCCATTGAATCGATGCAATCAGTTTCTTTGCGTTTGATGATCCCCTCTGGAGTTATCCACCAAGAAATTTCCCAGTTAGGTATCGCGAGTGTCTGCGCCGAACTTTTACTACGTGGCACAACATCACGAACTTCACAACAACAAGCAGACGATTTTGATCTCGCAGGAGCCGTTCGCGACAGCTCCGCAGGATCACGCTCGACAGCAATCTCAATGACAACACTGGGTACACGATTCGATGAAGCGATCCCGCTCGTTGCGGATATGGCGCTCAATGCATCGATGAATGACGCAGCATTCGAAGCATCGCGTGTGATGGCGCAGCACGCGCTTGCCTCGCTCGCAGATGACCCCCAACAACGAGCTGTACTCGCGGCGCGTGCTCGTCACCTCCCCGATCCATACAACCGCAACACCTACGGCACTGAATCCACCCTCAAATCCCTGACCGCAGACGCGACGCGTGATTGGTGGAATCTTCACAACAAACCAAGCGGTGCAATCATCGGAATCGCTGGATCCATCGATCCGGATGAAGCGGTTAAGAGTATTGAAGAACACTTCAGTCAATGGAGCGGATCAGTGCCATCGCCTGTAGTTTCTTCAGGTGCTGCTCGTGGATATGCCCACGAGTCCGACGACACCAATCAAGTCCAAGTCATCATCGTCAATGATGCACCTCAAGCAGGCCATGAAGATGAGATGAAAGAGCAACTCGCTGTGAGCGTGCTGTCCGGAGGGATGTCAGGACGACTATTCACCGAAGTTCGCGAGAAGCGAGGACTGTGCTATTCCGTATCCGCGAGCTATCGCGCCGAGCGTGAGCATGGACTGGTCACAAGCTATGTCGGGACCACCCCAGAGCGTGCGCAGGAATCACTCGATGTCCTCCACGAACAACTCGAAGCGCTCAAAGCTGGGGATGTCACTCAACAGGAGTTCGATCGCGCCAAAATCGGACTGAAGAGCCGAGTCATCTTCAGTGGAGAGTCCACAGGAGCGCGTTCAGCTGCACTCGTCGCGGACATCATGAAAAGAGATAATCCACGAACACTCGATCAGATCATCCAACAGATCGATGCAGTGGGTCTGGATGATTTCAATGACTACCTCCGCCGACGAGAACTTGGGACGCTCACGATACAAACGCTCGGCCCAACCGAGCTCACGCCGCCCGCGTAGTTCAAATCTTGCGAATCCATCACACAGTCATGTCAAATCGTCCAGATGGTCGATATATTGTCCCATGATGACCCGCGATTCTTCCCCAATCTCCGGCACTTCCAGCGATCACGCTCGAGCACACCAGTCCTCGACACCGGGATTCTCGATCGGTGGATCATCGCCGTACATGATCGGGATCGGAGGGTGCGGCATGTCCGCGCTCGCTCGCATGCTCAGCGGCGCCGGAATGCATGTCCAAGGATGCGATTCCACCCCTTCGCCCGTCACAGAAGCACTCAAAGACATCAAGGTCAATGTGAGTTTCAGCGAATCCGCAGATGCACTCCCCGATGACATCGATGTCGTCCTCGCATCCGCCGCTGTTCGACCCGAACATCCCATGGTCATCGAAGCGACCAACCGTGGACTGACTGTTCTCTCCTATCCAGAAGCACTGGGTGCGTGCATGACCGGACGCACCGGGGTCGCGATCGCCGGAACCCACGGCAAATCCACGACCACCGCGATGCTCGGATGCGCCCTTACGGACGCGAGACTCGATCCATCAGTCATCGTCGGTGCGACCTGTCAGCAACTCGAACACGGTGCACTCAATCCTCCCACGAATCGAGTTGGATGCCGAGTCGGGAGCGGAGTAATCCCAGAAGACTCCGCAAGAGGTGAGTGGGGGGGCAAGCCTGGGATCCTCCTTGCCGAAGCGTGCGAGTTCAACCGCTCCTTCCACAACCTCCGACCAACCGTCGCGTCCATCAGCTCCATCGAAGCGGACCATCTCGATATCTACGGCTCACTCGACGCGGTCGTCGAATCATTCGCTCAGTTCGCGCAGCTCATCCCCAATGCCGAACAAGGCGGAAAGCTGATCATCGGACACGACGGCGCGTTCCGAAGGGAAGTCACCGCCGGACTCAAGTGCGACATTGAAACCATCGGATTCAATCCCGGCGCCGATTGGGTCGTTGGATACCAGGACGGCATCACCACTGTCCAATCCCCCGATGGACATTCCCATTCCTGGAATCTCTCGCTGCCGGGAGAGCACAACGCGATGAACTCCGCTGTCGCGTTTGCGCTGGGACGATCCGTCGGAGGGGATCCCGACCTGCTCGCGAAGTCATTCGATGCGTTCAGTGGACTCGATCGCAGACTCCAACTGCTTGGTAATCGAAATGGTGTCAAGGTCATCGACGACTACGGACATCACCCAACCGAAATCGACGCAACCCTCCGCGCACTCCGCATGGATCAAGACCCGTCCAAGCACGGCGGACGACTCATCTGCGTCTTCCAACCACACCAACACTCGCGCACACGCTTCCTCCTCGACGAGTTCGCGACGAGCTTCGAGCACGCGGATGTGGTGATCGTGCCACACATCTACTTTGTGCGCGACTCGGAAGCGGAGCGACATAAAGTCAACTCATCGGACTTGGTTGATCGGCTCCGCGCCCGTGATGTTAAAGCAATGCACTTGTATCCATTCGAAGCGATCATCGAGCAACTCGAGAATATGTGCAGGCCGGGAGATCTCCTCGTGGTCATGGGCGCCGGACCGGTCTGGCAAGTCGGACAAGGATTCCTCGATGCAGGAATGGACCGATGACGACACGCACCGACAGCTTACAGATCGAGCACGATGCGCCGATCTCGACCTGGTTCCGTATCGGAGGCCGAGCCGATCGCCTCGCGCGTCCCGAGTCTGTCGAACAGTTGATGCAATGCCTCGAACTCGATGATGAGTGCAAAATCCTCGGCGAGGGCGCCAACCTGCTCGTCGACGACAGCGGGATGGACCATCTCGTCGTATCGATGCAGTCCGAAGGATTCAAAACCGTCGAGATCGATCAAGCTGCGGGGATCGTCCGTGCTGGTGCCGGGGTCGCACTCCCGAGACTCATCACACAGACGGTCAATACCGGATTGTCAGGACTCCAAGGACTCGCCGGATTCCCAGCAACCATCGGCGGTGCGGTCATCATGAACGCCGGAGGAAGGTTCGGAACTATCTCAGACCATCTCGTCGCCGTCCACGCGATGGACCGAGCGGGTCGCATGCACGAGTTGAGCAAGTCCGACATAGACTTCAGCTATCGCCATTCAGGATTGAACCATCTGCTCGTGTGCTCCGCTGTATTTCGCTTGGAAAGTGCAGACACCAACACGCTCAAGCAAGAGCTCGCTGAGTGCATGAAGTACAAGACGGATTCACAACCCATGAGCGCGAAGTCCGCGGGATGTGCATTCAAGAACCCGACTCTCACAGCCGACATCGAATCCATCGGGAACGCCGGAGATCGCGTGAGTGCCGGGATGCTCATCGACCGCGCCGGATGCAAAGGGATGCAGCACAACGGCGCTTCAGTCTCCGATCTCCATGCGAACTTCATCACCACCGCTCTCGATGCTCACGCTCACGATGTCATCACGCTCATGAAGCAAGTCCAGAATCGAGTCCGCGACTACTTCGGAGTCGAGCTCGAGAATGAGGTGGTCATCTGGACGCGAGGTGAGGAGATCTCACAATGACCAGCGTCCTGATACTCGGAGGCGGACCGGACGCCGAGAGAGCAGTTTCGATCGAGAGCGCGACAGGCGTCCATCAAGGATGTCTGGAAGCGGGACTCAAGGCGGAACTGCTCATCGTCGATGAACCAAGCGTCGATGAGATCAACGAATGGAACGCCGAGGTCATCTTTCCCGTCCTCCACGGCCGATTCGGAGAAGGCGGTCAGCTCCAACAGCGCCTAGAACGCACCAAGAGACCATTCGTCGGATGCAGAGCGATCGCCGCCCGCATCGCGATGGACAAGATGGCGACCAAACTCCTCGCCGCGACACTCAATATCCCCACCAAACCCGCCGTCATCCTCGATCCGTCCTCGTACACCGATCCGCACGAAGCCGTCCGACCAATCGACACACCGCTCGTGATCAAACCCGTCGCTGACGGCTCGTCCTGCGGGCTCTACATATGTCACAACCACCAAGACTGGATCAACGCGCTCGAAGCGATCAAAGCATCGGATCAACAACAGGTTTCCATGATCGAGCCGATGATCACGAGTGCCAGAGAACTCACGGTCTCCGTCATCGACGATGGATCGCACAACCTCAAAGCACTCCCAGTGATCGAGATCGCGCCCGCTTCAGGGATCTACGACTACCAAGCGAAATACGAACGCAACGACACGATCTACACCGTAAACCCTGATCTAGCCGATGATCTCGTCAGCGATCTCCAATCGTGGTCGTTGTCATTGTGCAAGCAGATCGGTGTGCGTCATCTGGCGCGTGTCGATTTCATGCTCGACGCATCCGGGAATCCCTGGCTCCTCGAAGCCAACACCATGCCGGGATTCACCGCGTCCTCGCTGCTCCCCAAAGCCGCGGCAGCAAGCGGACTCCCGATGCCTCAGCTCTGCAAGCACCTCGTCAACGCCGCACTCAGATCGTACCAACAAGTCACCAGTTCCTAAGAGCATCCCAGAGAGAAACGCATGGCCGCGAAGAAGAAAAAGAAAGACCCCGAAGCCGCCGCTCGCAACAAGCGCATCGCGATCACCTCTGCGATCGTCCTCGGCGCTGCCGGCGTCTTCCTCAGTGCCGGTATGGGCATCAATGCCGTGGACGAGCGCGCCGCGCAGCACATCACCAACACCGATCCAACGATCAAGATCAACTGGGGAACCGATTCATCTGGACACATCTGGATGCCGATCTCTGAACGCGATCGCATCGAGCGTCTTGTGCAAGCGTCAGTCGCTGGGACCAAAGCATTGAACTGGCACCCGCTCCACAACGCGTCCAAAGCCCTCGCGTCCACTGGTTGGGTTAACACCACCCCCGAAGCACGCTGGACCGATGACGGCTCGATCATTATTGAAGCGGACTGGCGCATCCCCGCCGCCGTGGTTCGCAGCGGAAATCGCGATTACCTCATCGACTTCCAATCCCATGTCCTCCCGCTCGATTACCCACACGATGAATCCAACCAGTTCGTGATTCACAATCCCGCGCTCCCGCATCCCGGCACTGGGAACAACTGGGATGAGCCTGAGATCCGCGATGCACTTAACCTACTCGTCGAACTCCAGAAGCACAACCTCCACAACCAAGTCGTCGGGATCGATCTGGGGACCAACCGTGAGCACGGCATCCTCCAACTCCTCACAGACAACAATGCACGAGTCCTCTTCGGAGGCGGTCCAGGACGCTCGCGTCCCGCTGAGATGCCTTCGTCAGTCAAAATCGAGCGTTTGATCTCGCTGCTCAACAGCACAGGAAGAATTGATGCCGGCGCGATGATCCTCGATATCCGAGGCCCTGAAATCACGATGCAGCGCCATGAGGGCTGATTGATCAGAGAACTCACCCAACCGCCTATGCGTACCCTTCCCTGTGAGTGATCAACCCCACGATCAAGGTCCATACCCATTCCCCGCGCCCCAACCTGTCCAGCGTGAGCGCGATCTGTTCGGAAAGGAACCACCGGGAGACCTCATCGATTGGTCGCATCGCAAAGGCGAACCCAGAGTCTTCGCGCTGCTCTGGATGATCTTCTTACTCACAACCACGGCGCTGATGTTCACAAGTCTCGCTGGGGGTTACAGCATTTCCCCATCAGTCTCACGCCCCGCGGCGCAGCAGATGCTCATCATCGTCACCATCGGGATGAGCGTGCTCTGGCCAATGATCCGATTCTCCCAGCGCATAGCGCGTCCGAGTATCGTTGCCGCCTCTCTGCGCGACATGGTCGTCCTGCTCATCCCACTCCAAGCCGTACTCTGGCCGCAACGATTAATCGTCCTCGGCGGCTGGTCCGGAGAAGTCGTCCTCGCGCTCGTGCTCCACACCGCCGCGTGGGCGTTGCTGATCGCAGGAACCATCGCGATCGGATCGATCCTCATCGCGAGTTCGTCCAAGCCTCAATTCACGCGCGCTCTTGCGATGCTCTCGGCTCTGCTCATCATCAGCATGGGTCCACTCATCGAGATGCTCTCCCTCAAGGGCGCTGCGATTGGTCCTGCACACGCGAACCTCGGATGGATGCTCTCTCCGATCACAGGGATTCTGGAGATTACCGCGGATCGAAGCGTGACCGGACAAGCTGCGAGTGTCTACAACGCCCATTTCCGCATCATCGCTGCGATCGGATGCGTCGGATTCGCTTTGTTAGCGTTTGGAAAGGCCCTTGAGAACACGCATTGGGTGGTCAATCGAAGGATGAACCCCTAAACTCCAATCCGCGCCGAGTGGGGCTCGCGGCGTGCAATCCCACGAGTACTAAACACAGCGGATCGCTATACAATGACCGGCACAACGCCGGACGGAGTCAATCATGGATGTCATCACCCCAGAAGAACGCGACAACCTCAAGCAGCGCCTCAATGCGCTCATCGCGAATCGCTCCGTGATTACCGAACGCATCGCAGAAGCACGAGCACTCGGCGATCTCAAGGAAAACGCCGAATACCACGCCGCACGCGAGCAGCAGGGGATGGAAGAAGCCGAGATCAAGCGCCTTGAAACCCGCCTCTCCTCGGCGCATGTCGTCGATGAATCCAACCAAGCCGAAGGCGTGGTCTTCATCGGATCCACCGTCAAGCTCATTGAAGAGGACGAAGACGAGGATGAGTTCGAACTCTACCGACTCGTTGGAGAAGCCTCAGGTGGTGTGGACGGCGATGTGGTCGAAGTCACCGCGACCTCCCCAATGGGTGAAGCGCTGATGAAAGCACGCGTCGGAGAGACCATCCGAGTCAACGCACCCAGAGGGGTCAAACGCTTCAAAATCCTCGAGATCGTTTGATCTGAGCGAGCGTTTACCGAAATTCACTCATCATGAATCCCATTGAATGTCAGCCGGTATCACACGATGCGGTACGCTATCGTTGAGCAATCCGAGCACAGGAGCCCACCATGAATCGTTTGATCGCCCTTCCCGCATTCGCACTCACCGCCGTCTCGCTCCTCTCAGGATGCGAATCGATGGGAAACCGTCATTACGATTATCGCGTGATGAAGGTTGAGCATCGTCCATACTCTGCGATCGACATCGTCACCGCCAACGGCTCGATCCGTGCGCTCCAAGAAGATCGTGAGAATGTCGCCATCGAGGTCGAACTCTACGGCTACGACGCCGAGCGACTCGATTTCGCGACCGTCCATGCGGATCGCATGGGAGATAACTCGCTCAGGGTTTGGGTTGAATGGCCCGGAGGCAAACGACGCGACGGCGAGGGGGCTAAAGTTGAAGTCTTCCTCCCAGATGCGCAAGGTGTCTCCGCGAAGACCTCCAACGGCTCCGTCGTCGTCATGGGTCTCAGCGGCGATGCACTCGTCGAAACCACCAACGGCTCAGTCCATCTCGATCAACACAGCGGGAACATGAACATCCGCACCACCAACGGATCCGTCCGCGTAGACGATTCGCAAGGCGACATCAACTTCGTCACAACCAACGGACGCATCCTCGTCTCCGAAGCAGATGGCTTAGTCGAAGGTGACACCTCCAACGGCAATGTCTTCGTTTCCACAACGGAAGGTGCTTCTGGACCGATCCGAATCCGCACAAGCAATGGGCGCGTCGAACTCGATCTTGGACACGCATATGAAGGTATTCTGCGCGTCAGCACCACCAACGGACGCATCAAGACATCCAATCTCCCTGATGCACGATTGATCGAATCATCCAATTACACACTCGAAATGCAACTGGGAGACAGCGAAGTGATCTCTGCAGTGCGCACGACCAACGGCTCTGTCCGTATCCACGGCGATCCAGAAGACTAAGCAAACTCAAGCAGCATTCGACCAATCGTGAACCGATTTGGGTTCACTCATAACTTCATGCACACGCAGCACCCACTCAGGACAGTGCGTGCGCAGTTCATTGACGCGCTTGCGTTTGGTGATGTAGTACAAAGCCGTCCCGCCTTGGACGACAAACGCGACAACGACAAGCACGCCCGCGATCCCCATGCTCAGCAGGTACTCGATCTGCGTGAGTTGATCCATCGTTCCCGCGAGTTCTGGTGAAGACGCGATCGTTGGGTCCGATGCAAGGGATCCTGCGATCATTGAGTCAGCGCTGTCGTAGGTCGCGACTTTGTACACGGCGTATGCAATAAGCACCGCGCCCAACATTAACTGATTGATCGCGAGCCAGACCGGTGCCGAGCCATCAAGCCGATCCATCCGGCGCGCCAAGCCGAGTTCACGCATTCCGAATCCCGCGAGCGCCAATCCCAGGATCATCCCAGGCAACGATCCGATCGAGAACAACACACTCATAGCGCCTGCGAGCAATGTCATCCATCCTGAAATCCGTGCATACCCAGAAGCCTTGCGCACAGGACGAGCACTCTGGACGCTTGATCCGAGCATACGCAAGTGCGAGATGGTCAATGGCGAATCACCTCCAAACCCGCCTTCACGCTCAATCAATCCACAACCCGATGATTGCTCAACACTGTTCATTGAGAACAGATCGACCCCTCGTTCCCTTCCGCCGTGCCAGAGTGCCAATGTTCTGTAAATGATGGACTTAGCTATCCTACAGCCGTTCGAATAGCTCCGAGAATGCACCGAAAGTATGGTCTTGATTACCGTGATGCAGGAACACGCGGGTGTGCAAAAATCGGCTCTAAATCGAACAATTCACGCGAAACAGGAACCGAATCATGCCTCTGTATCATATTTGATGATTTTTCTGCGATTCTGGATATATGTATCAAAATACGCCACAATCGTTGACACAGGAATGATTCCTGTTATACGATACGGATCTCGTATGGATCCATTTTTGGTTTTTTGAGCGTGTGACGCCCGACAAAGCCAAAAACGAATCCGGGAAATTACACTGGAAGTTGGTTGGAGTTCGGTACCCCAATCACACGCACAGGACGAAGTCTGGAGAACAACAGTGTCTGAACACGCGGCTCAAAACGAAGCGTCACGCGAGGGGCTCGAATCCTTCGTCTATGACGACAAGATCGTACGAATGTTCGCATGGGCAACCATTATCTGGGGAATCGTTGGATTCCTCGTCGGTGTCATCATCGCGATCCAACTCGCATTCCCAGACGCCGGTTTCGGCATCGAGTATCTCAGCTTCGGACGCTTGCGTCCGCTTCACACCAACGCCGCGATCTTCGCGTTCGCAGGCAACGGCATCTTCGCCGCTGTCTACTACTCCACACAGCGACTCTGTAAAGCTCGCATGTTCTCTGATCTGCTTTCCAGACTCCACTTCTGGGGGTGGCAGCTCATTATTGTTTCCGCCGCGCTCACTCTTCCCCTCGGAATCACCCAAGGTAAGGAATACGCAGAACTCGAATGGCCAATCGACCTCGCGATCGCGGTCGTTTGGCTCGTCTTCTTTGGGGGCAACTTCATCGGCACGCTGATCAAACGCCGCGAGCGCCACATCTATGTCGCGCTCTGGTTCTACATCGCGACCATCGTCACCGTCACCATGCTCCATGTCGGGAACAACATCTGGCTCCCCGCCGGACTCGTCCACCTCATCAAGACCGGCGAGTTTGCAGGTCCCGCATTCCTCATGAAGTCCTACCCCGTCTACGCAGGTGTGCAAGACGCACTCATGCAGTGGTGGTACGGCCACAACGCGGTGGCGTTCTTCCTCACCACCCCGTTCCTCGGACTCATGTACTACTTCATGCCCAAAGCCGCGGAACGCCCTGTCTTCTCCTACAAGCTCTCCATTATCCACTTCTGGTCGCTCGTCTTCATCTACATCTGGGCCGGTCCTCACCACCTCCACTACACCGCACTCCCTGAATGGGCCTCCACCCTCGGCATGGTCTTCTCTGTCATGCTCTGGATGCCTTCTTGGGGCGGCATGATCAACGGCCTCCTCACACTCCGTGGTGCGTGGGATCGAGTCGCGAAAGATCCGATCCTCAAGTTCTTCGTCGTCGGCGTGACCTTCTACGGCATGTCCACTTTCGAGGGACCACTCCTCTCCGTCAAAGCCGTGAACTCGCTCAGTCACTACACCGACTGGACGATCGCGCATGTCCACTCCGGCGTGCTCGGATGGAACGGCTTCATGACCTTCGGGATGCTCTACTGGATGATGCCTCGCCTCTTCCAGACCAAGCTCTACTCCACCAAACTCGCAACGATGCACTTCTGGATCGGCACCATCGGCATGGTCCTCTACATCCTCTCCATCTACACCGCCGGGATTACCCAAGGCTTGATGTGGAGAGCATGGGACGAAACCGGTCGCCTTGCATACCCAGACTTCATCGAAACCGTCACCAAACTGATCCCGATGTACTGGATCCGTGTTGTTGGTGGTGTGCTCTACATGTCAGGTGCGATCATCGCACTCTACAACTTCTTCATGACCTGGAAAGCGCGTCCAGAGAAGTACGAAGAAACAGTCCACTACGCAGCACCACTCTCGCCAAACTACGAGGGTGATCCAGAAGCGAAGTCACGCTTGACCGCAAACGCAGGTTTCGGACACGCCGGCGACAAGTTCCTCCAAGGCAACTGGCACCGCAACTGGGAACGCAAGCCAGTCCGCTTCACCGTATATGTCCTCGTCGCCGTGCTCATTGGTGGTGCCGTCGAAGCGGTTCCAATGTTCTTGGTTTCGTCGAATGTGCCGTCGATTGCATCGGTGCAGCCCTACACACCACTGGAACTCGCCGGGCGCGACATCTATATCTCCGAAGGCTGCTACAACTGCCACTCGCAGATGATCCGTCCGTTCTACTGGGAAACCAAACGCTACGGCGATTACTCCAAGCCGGGTGAGTTCGTCTACGACCGTCCATTCCAGTGGGGTTCCAGACGCATCGGTCCAGACCTCCATCGCGAGGGTGGTCGCAAGAGTCACCTCTGGCACTACGAGCACTTCAAGAACCCAGCAGATACTTCACCAGGTTCCATCATGCCGCGTTATCCATGGCTGCTGACAAAGGAAATCAACTTCCCAGCAATCCAAGGACGCGTCGATGCCAATGCGATGCTCGGCGTGCCATACGGCGACATGGTCCTCGATGGTGCAGCTGTCGAAAGTGCTCAGTTCCAAGCCGCAACCATCGCCGCGGAACTCGAAGAGCAAGGCGGTCCACCAATGGACGAAACCATGGACAAGCAGGTCATCGCACTCATCGCGTACCTGCAGCGTCTGGGGACCGACCTCTACAAGGAAGCACCAGCTGACGCTCAAGCAAACGCAGGAGGTGACCAATGAGTTTCACAGACATCGTCTCCAATATGAATCTGGATATATATCCGATCATCTCGCTCATCCTCTTTCTTGTTGCGTTCGCGCTGATCATGTGGTCCGTGCTCCGCACGCCGAGGACAGAGAGCGATCGTCAAGCGAACATACCGCTCCAGGACGATTACGACCTGAGTTCCACTGACAACATGCACAACCCAGCAGGCAAGGGGGCATCCCATGGCTGAGAAGAATCCAGAACTGCTCGACCACAACTACGACGGCATCCAGGAGTACGACAACCCTACTCCAGGTTGGTGGCACCTCATCTTCTGGGGCACCATCATCTGGTCCGTCATCTATGTCATCGTCTGGCACATGACCCCGCTCATCCCCGATCGCATCACACGACTGGAGAACACACGCCAGATCGCGATCGAGAAACAGTTTGCGCAGCTCATGACCATCGATGATCCAATCACCAAGGTCCGCACCGTCATGGGTGACGAGAACTGGCTCGAGCAAGGTGCCTCCGTATACGCCGGGACATGCGTGCTCTGCCACGACAAAAACGGACAGGGACTCATCGGACCAAACCTCACCGACAATCACTACAAGAACCTCACGGATCTTGAAGGGATGATCGATGTGATCACCAACGGCGCCGCGAACGGAGCGATGCCCGCGAATGTGAACCTCCTCGACGAGAATGAGATCGCACTCGTCGTCGGATATGTCGCATCACTCCGTGGACAGATGCTCGAAGGTCCACGCGGCGTAGAAGGCGAAGAAATCGCCCCATTCCCAGAACCAATCTCCGCAGATCAAGGCGGTTAATCACACACCCCGATGCGATGGTGGAAACACCATCACATCGTTTCCCACTGCAGCAGGACAGCAAAGGAGAGCGGGAGTCTCATAGATGTCTGAGTCACTTCTGAAACCCAACGAGCGGGTCCTGTCCACACTCAACGATGATGGATCACGCCGATGGCTCCGTCCAAGACTCTCGCCGGGCAAGTTCCTCAACTGGCGCCGCGCCGTCGCGTACATCCTCATCGCGACCTACTCGCTCCTCCCATTCATCACGATCAACGGCAAGCCCGCGATGCTCCTCGATGTCCGAGCACGCGAGTTCACCTTCTTCGGGAAGACCTTCCTCCCAACAGACACGCTGCTCTTTGGTCTCTTCATGATCATGGTGTTCTTCACCATCTTCCTCGTCACCGCGCTCTTCGGACGCGTCTGGTGCGGATGGATGTGCCCCCAAACCGTGTATATGGAGTTTCTTTACCGTCCGATCGAGCGTCTCTTCATCGGAGGACCAGGACGCAAAAAACCCAAGAACATCGGACTCCGCCGAGTGCTCATGTACATCGTGTACTTCCTGATCTCACTGCATCTCGCGCAGACCTTCCTGTCGTACTTCGTCGGCGCATCGACCGTCAATGACTGGATCTTCGGATCACCATTTAACCATCCCGTCGCGTTCCTGATCGTCGCCGTGACGACCGGATTGATGATGTTCGACTTCGCGTTCTTCCGCGAGCAGGTCTGCTGCGTCGTCTGCCCCTACGCACGCATGCAAGGCGCGCTCACCGACCAAGACTCCCTCATCGTCACCTACGACAAAGGACGAGGCGAACCGCGAGGCAAGAAACGACGCAAGCAAGCACAAGACATCGACTCATCCGATGTCTCGCTCCCAGTGCTCGGAGACTGCATTGACTGCACCATGTGCGTCCAGACCTGTCCGACAGGGATCGACATCCGCATGGGACCACAGCTCGAGTGCATCGGATGCGCCCAGTGCATCGACGCGTGCAACACCATCATGGACAAGATCGGTCGTCCACGCGGACTCATTCGCTACTCATCCGAGAACGCTGTACGCGGCAATGTCCGTCACCTCATCCGTCCACGTATTCTCGTGTATCCCGCGATCCTCCTGCTCGTCTTCATAGGATTCTTGTATGTCCTGAGCACCAAAGGCACCTCAGAAGTATGGATCGGACGCGAAGCGGGTCTGCCGTTCTACACACTCCCATCAGGTGAGATCACCAACCAGCTCCGCACACGCATCACCAACCGTTCTGAGGAACCCACCGAGTACACACTCTCGATCACCGATCCCGCAGGGGTTCATGTCGGAGATGGATACGGCATCCTCACCGTCGAGCCGGGAAAAGAAGGCTCACAGAAGTTCCCGATCGTCGCGGACCCTCAAGTCTTCACCTCAGGACAGATCGAGATCACCATCAACATCTCCGACGGCCAAGAGTTCTCCAAAGACATGGTCTTCGAGCTCAAAGGCCCGAAATACCGTGAACCTACAATCACTCCGGAAGAGAGCAACTCCGATGGATAACAACCAAACCAACAGCACTCAACAAGACAACCGCACATTCTTTGAGAAGGGACTCCATTGGCCCGTCGCGATCGTTCTTATGTTCGTTTTCTCTGCAACACTCATCATCACTACCGGAGTGATGGGGGCTCGCAAGGGATCACACGCCGTTGAACCCGATTACTACGCACGCTCGCTTGACTGGGACAGCGAAAAGAAAATGCTCAACACCGCTGATCGTCTCGGATGGGATGTCCGTGTCAGCGCATCTCCAGTCCTCGATCCCGTCGGATCACGGCTCGTTTCCGTAATGATCCTCGATCAGGACAACAATCCGATCGAAGACTCACTCGTGGAGATCACTTGCTTCGCGCAGTCCAACGCACGCGACACATTCACCAACATCCTCCAGCACGGCGGCGCAGGTCAATACCAATCCCGTCTCCAAGGCATGCATACGAACGGGCTCTGGGAATATCGAATCTCGATCCGACACGCCGGCGAGCAAGCCCTCGTCATCAAATCGCTTGAGCTCGAGGGGTAACCCATGGACCCCATCTTCGTCCTCATCGCGACCGTCCTCACCGCATCACTCGTCGGATCGCTCCACTGCGCCGGCATGTGCGGCGGACTCATGCTCTTCGCCCTCGGCGCCGACGGACAACAATCCAGATCCCAAAAGCTCAAACTCCAATCCGCATACCACGGCGGACGACTCGCAACCTACACCCTCCTCGGAGTCATCGCGGGATCCATCGGACAAGCACTGGACTTCGGAGGTTCATTTGTCGGAGTACAGCGCGCCGCCGCGATCTTCGCGGGCGTATTCATGATCGGATTCGGACTCATCGCACTCGCGCGCATCAAAGGCGTGCGCATCAAACACGTCCGCGCCCCCAAGTTCATGCAACGAGCCGTCGAGAAGGGACAACGCCTCGCATTCAACCTGACCCCATTCAAACGCGCCCTGACCATCGGACTCCTCACCACCCTCCTCCCATGTGGTTGGCTCTACGCCTTCGCATTCACCGCCGCGGGAACAGGTTCACCAATCTGGGGCGGACTCACCATGGCCGTGTTCTGGCTCGGGACATTGCCAGTCATGGCCACCCTCGGCGCCGGAATCCAGATGCTCGCCGGACCGCTCCACGCGAAAATCCCCGCGATCAGCGCCTGCGCCGTCGTCCTCGTCGGCGCGTTCACGGCGATGGGACGACTCCAAGCACCCGAAATGTCCCCCGAAACACTCGGCATCGCAGACAATCCTTCAGCAGTCCCAACGAATCCCGACGAGACCTGCCCCCTCTGCGAACTCGGACTCCCGATGGACGAAGAATCAGAATCTTCAACGGATGCTTCCAATGATCCTTAATCAATGACTGCTGAATCCGAATCCATCACACAAACCTACTGCGACCACTGCGGCCTCCCCGTCCCAGAAGGACTCTACGAACCCGATGCAGAGCACCAGTTCTGCTGCAACGGATGCAAAACCGTCTACAACGTCCTCCATGGCGCGGGACTCGAAAACTACTACCGAGTCCGTTCCGCCGTCGATCCCAATGCCGAACCAGCCGCGAGCACAGGAAGCAACTACGAAGAACTCGACGACCCCGCGTTCACCAGCACTTGGGTTTCCCAAGCCGACGACCATACCTCCGAAGTCGAACTCCTCCTCGAAGGTATGCACTGCGCCGCATGCGTGTGGCTCATCGAGCGCCTCCCACGCGTCGCCGATGGCGTCATCGACGCGCGCGCCAACATCCGACGCCGAACAGTCTGCGTCCGCTACAACCCCGAGTCTATCAAGCTCTCGCAGGTCGCTCAATCCCTCGACAAACTCGGATACGCCGCGCATCCAGCGCGTGGGAAAGAAGCACGCGCGATCCGCGTCAAAGAAGACCGCAAGTTCCTCATCCGCGTCGCCGTCGCCGGAGCGCTCGCCGGGAACATCATGCTCCTCGCGATCGCGCTCTACGGCGGATCATTCTCAGGGATCTCAGACTTCTGGCGCTCCACCTTCCGTTGGTACTCCATGGCCCTCGGCATCGTCGTCCTCGTTTGGCCAGGACGCATCTTCTTCACCGGAGCGCTCGCGGCGATGCGTACACGCACCGCGCACCTCGACATCCCGATCGCACTCGCACTACTCACCGCCGGAGTCTGGGGGACCCTCAACACCATCCGAGGCGTCGGAGAGATCTACTTCGACTCCGTCTCCGTCCTCGTCTTCCTGCTCCTCGTCGGACGCTGGATTCAGCACCGCCAACAACGCGCCGCATCCGATTCCGTCGAGCTCATGCTCACGCTCACCCCAAGCAGCGCCACGCTTATCGACGACGAGGGCAACACCAAACGCGTCCCCATCGACACGATCGAAGCGGGAATGTCCGTCCGCGTCGCCGCCGGAGAGTCCTTCCCCGCCGATGGGATCATCACCGATGGATCCACAACCATCGACAACGCGCTGCTCACCGGAGAATCCATCCCCGTCCAATCCGATCCTGGCGATCAAGCCCTCGCCGGCGCAACAAACCTCAGCTCACCAGTCACCGTCCGCGTCCAAGCAGTGGGGGAGCACACGCGAGTCGGGAAGCTCATGCAACTCGTCGCCAGCGCCTCGGAGCACAAGTCTCCAGTCGTCCGAGCCGCCGATCGCATCGCGGGATACTTCGTGATCGTCGTCATCATCCTCGCGATCGGGACCGTCGCGCTCTGGACCACCCTCGACTCACTCGGGATCGCGATCGAGCACGCGACCGCGCTCCTCATCGTCACCTGCCCCTGCGCCCTGGGACTCGCAACACCTATGGCGATGTCCGTCGCGCTCGGACGCTCCGCTCGAGCGGGGATGCTCATCAAATCCGCTGTCGTCCTTGAACAACTCGCAAGACCCGGCTCCATGCTCCTCGATAAAACCGGAACCCTCACGAGCGGCACAAGCACCGTCGTTGATTCCCACGGCGACCAAAGCCTCCTCCAAGCCGCCGCCGCGATCGAACACTCCTCAACCCACCCCATCGCCCGCGCGATCGCATCTGCGTTCGGGGATGACCTCCCATCCGCGAGCGACATCAAGCAAACCACCGCGCAAGGCATCGAGGGAACAGTCAACGACGAGCGCATCACCATCGGATCGGTGAATTATGTCACGCAACTCACTGGAATCGCAGTCCCAGATGACCTTCAGCCCAAGCTTGTCCGCTTGCTCGATCGTGCCCTGACGCCGATCTTTGTCTACAACCACTCTACACACCAGTCCGCGCTCATCGGAGTGGGGGACCAGCTCCGCAGCGACACCAAGCCCGCGATCACCCAGCTCCACAAACGCGGATGGAACCTCTCAGTCTGCTCCGGAGACCACCCAAGAATCGTCGAATCCATCGCTCACGAAGTCGGGATCGATAATCACGAGGGCGCCGTCACCCCAGAATCCAAAGCACTTCGGATCCAAGAACAGAAAGACGCCCGCGCCAGTGATCGCACCCCA